TTTCCAAATAGAAAACCAACACTTTTTTGGATCACACAATGGCAATGGCTAAGGTGTTAACAATGTACCGTTCAAATAAGTACAACTGATTATTTAAATTACTACTTTATATTTCTGTGTGTAACAGAATTCATTTAGACATGAGTTTTCTTCCAACATTAGAGGAATATGTTAAAGAAGGAAGAAAAATGCTCAACAAAATTAGACGCCAACGCGACACAAATTAGTTAAAGGTTAAATAAACATGCTATATAATATATGTAGTAGGTATACCAAAGGTGAAAGACTCTGGTTTAAGCGACCTTTCGCTTAATACGCGATATTTACTTTTATAATTAAAGGTCTGTTTTATTTGGTATTAGTATCAACAATTCAATGTTTTTAATTGAGCTTCAAATAAGGTTACGCCACTCAAATAGTTGAATTTTTTTTTATATTTTTTTTTCCAAAGTTTAATCTTAAAATGGCTCTCTTGTAAAGTTGTAAAAATGACACTTTCACGAAACAGGCTTTCACCCCTCGATAATATGATATGCCGCTAAATACATGAGACTCCGTCGACTGGGTGGCGTAGTGGCAGGTTCACACCCCACACGGTGTTCGTTGAGTGACCAACGGTAGCCCATAGATATCACGTCACGAGGTGACGACAACGTCAAGCTGTCACCCACCTTGAGACACAAGTCGATATCATAGTTGTGTTGTACAACGGCTGTACTTACCACCTTTCAAATGTATGCTTACTGTGCTGGTTCATATTCGTCCTGTGTGCTTAGTGCGAGTTTTTTAACCAAAATTTTTTTTAACCAAACTCAAATTTGTAAGGAATTGGAACGTTGCCCTACGTTTAGCGCTAGGATCGCTATTCCATACAAATTTGAGTTAACTTTGACGCTATCGAGAACGTTAAAAAACTCTGTTTACTACATGCATATGAATATATATACGGTACATACACCAAAATAATATTTTTTACAATTTTTGTCTATCTGTCTGTCTGTCTATCTATCTGTCTGTCTGTCTATTTATTCCGGCTAATCTCTGGAACAGCTGGACCCATTTTGACGAGACTTTCACTGATAGATAGCTGCTGATATAAGGAGTAACTTAGGCTACTTTTTTTAGACTAGCTGCGCCCCGCGGCTTCACCAGCTGTACGACAATAGTCGCGGGTAACATCGCGAGACTCAGCTATCAATAATAAAATTTAATGTTTCCGAAGCGATGCGAGGGCGGGTCGTTAGTCGTAAATACGTTTAATTAATCCATATTTACATATACTATTAATACCATACGAATCCTACATGTAAACTTAGAAACCGGTCGCAGCACAAAACGATTTAATCGAAAATAAAATTTAATTAACCTTAAATTATTATTGAAATTGGTGATTTGTAACCAAATCAACTTAATTCTTTCCGCGTCATTTCGCATTCGAAAAACATTGATTTTATCTATTTATTGTGGACTTATTATACTAAGTGTACCCTTCGGATTCATCTATAGATGTGAGAGAAAAAATTCTTAAATTGGTCAGACAGTTAAGCCGCCGCCAACTACAAATAAATACTGTAAAAGCTTTTTATTCGTGGGGTTCTGTAAATACGACGCGAATACAGAAACCTTCAATTTCTTTGTTGTATCACTCTTATCCGAGCGTTCGTGGTCGTCATTCAGTATCATTGCTGTGGGCAGATGTAATGCGCCTCATGAGTAATCGCTACTTCTCCTGGATTGTGGTGAGCCTGGTACACTCATGTAAACAAGCGCCAACTGTTGACTTGACTTGGTCGGTCCATCGCCTGGGTAAACGTCCACGCGGTCTGGTGCCTTCTAATCTGCAAAGCGCTCTGTGTAGTCATTTCCTCGCCGGGAGATATGTCCAAAAAATGATAGTATGCGCACATGTACGGGCGCCGAAATGCGCTGCTTAATGCCGAGTTCTTTTTTTTTTCCTACCTAATCTGATAGCCTTGAGAGGCTATTTCAGCGTAACCTTAACTAATAGGTGAGCTCACGGGGCTCAAACCGGAGTGATGCTAACACTGACCCTAGCAAGAGCAGTGTTTCGCAGCTTCTTCCACCGGATCGGAAATGCGACCCACTGAGAAGATCCGGCGAGAAACTCAGTGGGCTGTGTCTATGGGTTAATTCGCTCGTCGAGCCCTTCGTCGCAAGCGACGGGTTCGACGAGGACGGTGACCGGTGCTTGTGGTAACTAAAAGCACCGTTAATGGATCGGGAGGATCCGTAATGACGTGTTTTGGGCTAGAGTTCTTGAAGAATGAAGATATTGTTGCGAAGTTCGGTCCATGAAATACGAAGCATTCATCTCCAGCAGCACCTCGAATATGACCATTTACATACCTATATGGGATTACAAGGGATACGTTCCTAGGCGATAAAATAAAAAACAAGAACATATTATATATTATATGTATATACATATATTAATAATTTAATTAAGGTTCTTTGGCATTTTGATTAACGACGACGTTTTTACAAAGGATATTCGGTTGGATACCTTCATATTGGAATCCTTTTGGTATGTACCGATGTAGCGATGAAATCCGCAAATAAAGAAATATTTTGCCACGGATATAAGAATTGGATCGCACATTTAAATCCGAGAATGGTAGAAAAGCGAATGAAGAAAGCGCGAATTAATAACTTTTACTGTATCGCATAAAATTTTATAACAAGAATGTATTAAATTTCATAATTTAATTGAAAAATGTGAAATGAAAAATACGTTTATTTGGATGACATATTTATCAGGTATTTTAATTTAAAACCCAAACTACAACACGGATTTTGGTGAAAGACGTATGGAACCAATCATAATCATTTCAAAGGAAATTTTAAATCAGGTTATATAATATATTATATAATAAACAACGGAGTTTTTAACAAACAAAAAAAAAACACCAAATAAAAAAAACACAAACATTTCTAAGGGCGATTTCTTCTGTGGTAATGTGCTACTTATACCAGTGAGCGAAACGGAAAATTTGGTGTTCAAAAATCAACATTATTTTCTTCCAAGAACAGACTTGAGGAACTTATAATCTCTACGCTTTCAAACACACGCATCACCGAATGGTTAGTGTGTTTTGCAAAATAATAATCGAATTGATTCTTCTGTATCTCTAAGCATCTTCATATTAGATAAAAAATTATTGAATTGCACCAGACTAAATGCTCTTTGTGCAGATGAGCCAATTATTTGGTAATGGAATCTAGAAACGCACGTGCTAAATGTGACGCGAATGTTAAATGTATTATTACACGTGTTTCGTTTACAAACATAAGTTTGTACGAATCTCAATTCAGTAGTAAACTCATAAACAGTGACAAACAATATATTTTCAAATAAGTACGTTCCTGGCGGGAAGACTATTTTTAATTTTTGGTGTCTATGCGAGCGTCAATGCGACAGACACGTATTATTTTATAGCAAATCTTCTGTTCAATTCAAATCATATAAACATTACTGAAATTCGTTTTAGATAATTAAATGGTTTTTTTATCAAATATTAAATAAGTATGTCATGTAAATTATTATTTTTATTAGAGTATTTTAGTAAACAAACAATTAAAGGGATTTAAGCAAAATAGATGAGTAGCCGTGATTGCCAAACTCTTATTTTGTAGGTAACTTAAGTAGATAAAAAATTATTAAGTCGAATTTTTGTGAAAATATCTTAATGAAATATTAACACAAGCACAGGAAATTAAGGTGTAGAGTCATTCTAACGAGAGAAGCCCCGGGGCGATTAGAGAAACTAAACTTTACAACTAATTTGCTTATATTAGTAGGTATCTGTGGGACTTTTTGTGAAAAATAATCCAGCTTCCCAGTTTTTTAAATTAGCTCAATGACTCGATTTACTAAACTAAAGCTTAATAAAAATATTTAGTATCAAAGAATCCATTACTAATTATAGTATTTCACAGTAAACAATCGAAGGCTAATTTATGTCTCGTACTTGTTTCTTTGGGCACATAATGCGATCCTCATTGCACAGTCTGGAGAAACTCACAATTCTTGGACAGATGGAGGGGAAGCGCGCTAGAGGAAGAGCGCCAGCTAGATGGGTTGACCAACTCAAGGAGGCGATTGGAGGCCAGATATGGGGAGCGGTACATATGGCGCAGAACCGGACCGAGTGGAGAAGATTGACATACAGTCACGATCCCCAGCATTGAGGGAACGACCAGAAAGAAGAAGACTTGTAAAGAATCTGACTAGTAGTCCAATACCGGTCAATTTCCGTGGAAACTCTGAACTATTTGTAAAACGATCTATTGCTACTAAATCTAAACTTTAAGGGCAAATTTATCATTATACCAAACCTTTCTATTTTTTGCAGTATATATATTTTAGAAATAACCATACAATTTGACACTATAGCGTTCAAAGATGAAATCTTCCTACCATTAACACAGCTTATATTCTGTTAGATAGTTAAATATTTCGTCCGATAAAATTCGATTTTGTATCAGAAAATTGAAACTAGACATTAATATTACACTTTATCTATAAATGTAACTGAACGTAAACATCATACATTGGATGAATGAAAACATAAACTGATGAATGAGCATTCGCAGTTACTAAATATCTTCTACAAGCATTCAGATATCACACGGTCGCACATTGTTTTTAAATACTATATTAGGTATCAACATATTGCGATACCAAAATATTATAGTGATAGCTGCTAAATCAAAACATAAAATAATCGAATTCGTTTGGCAATGAAATCCAAGGAAACAACACAAGGAAATAATTAATACCGAAACTTTCTAAGTTTAAGCATTGATCGATTCGCCAGTCCCTTGACCTCGAACGTCATTCGGAATTCTTAGACAAATTAAGTAAATAAATTGTGTCGTTTCTGATCACTCTGTAAATAAACCTCATTATCAGTAACGGAGTTATAGCCGGCCTCGAAGCTACGACGAGTGGCAGGTGAAAGTAACTGCTCAGACGCAGAGCTCGCTTCGTGTAACGAGCACATTCAATTAACAAACTCAGCTCCGATAGGAATGCGAATTCTTCGGTGATAATCGCAAATAATCAAACAATTCAGTAGGTAATGTGCGGATGCGCGAGCGCACGACACAGTGAGTTACGCTATCAGGGTCGGCGTGCCACAGACGAAGTACATCGTGTGATAGTGTTGTACAGAGGCGCTGGGCTGCCACCGGCGATCCGGACACTCAGTCGCAACCATGTTGACAAAGTGCGCCGTCGTAGTCCTCGCGCTGACGCTCGTAGCTGCCGCCGTCTCGGCTAACTCCGAGCTAGACCTCAACAACACTATACCGGCGGAGCGATACTTCATTGACAAGATATTCAACAAGTACGGAGACAAAGGCATCATTACGTTTGAGGTGAGTTTCGCACATTCTGTTATGCTTCAATACGACGTGAAAATTTTATCGCAGATGTGTAGGTGTATATAATGTTTGTTCAGTATGTTATAAATAACATACGAATTACGAAATATAAATGAAAAAAAATTACTTTCAACAGAGCACATTTTAAGTGTTCGACAAATTTCTTCATTCAAACACCAGTGCTTTTTTTTAAACGTGCTTTTTTTATTTAAAATAATCGTATTATCTTTTAAGTTCACACCGTAGCGATAATGTTATTCCTATATCTTTTTTGATACCTATCCAGATAGTTTAGCTTTCAAATTATTCAAGTCACGATAAGAAATTCGGATTGCTTACAATATTCTGCAACACCTTTCCCTATTTTGTAAGCGGAAGTTCATCGAACTTAAATTTAATTTGTTTTGATAGATTCTACGCTTTCTTATCGACCGGCATCAAGTGATATTGTACCAAAATGTATTGACCATAGCTTTCTAGAAGTTAATTTTTATTCCATGGTTAAAATTAATTAGAGATTGTTAAAATTAAATTGACTCATTAAGGTTTAGTATTCTTTTCACAATTGATAAGTAAAATAATTTTAGCATGTAAATACGGATCAATATAAAAATAAATACAATTTGCTAATAGTTATGTCCACTTATTAAGCCTAGAAGAGAATATGTAATTGATGAATAATTGCAAATTACTTAATCTCTTTGTAATGGTTGTTAGAAATGCTTTATAATGTGCCTATGTTCATAATCTTGTTCAGAGAAAACATTTAAATACTTACTCCATTTTTCTCTCTGTTTTATCTCAGTAAATTATTCACATACTTTTGAATAGACATAAATCACAGAACAGGAAGACTGAGATTTAAGTCCCAGTCAGACTGGATCTCGCTTTTCCCGCAATAAATGTTAATTAAGAAAACTTGTTAGAAATCTTTTCCGTTTTAGCGTAATTCCATGGCAGAAAAATCCTGTTCTTTGGTAATCAAGGCTTTTCTATAGCGAATGATGACAACGTAACAATAATTTTGATACGGGAAGTAATAAAATGTTGTAATAATATAAATAATGATTTACTTATTTAGCATGACCAGAATGTAACCAAACGTAGGTACAAGGCAAGATCGTTCGACTATGAAAACAATACGCACATATAAAATAATAACAATGCTATTTAAATAAAAAAATATTATTTAAAAAAAACAAGCTGATTTCCATTAATTAAATTAGGTTATTTTAACAATAAACATGTATGTCAGTCCGCGTTAAAAATGCTATTGAGGTTATTTTTGCACAAATGAGGAAACAATATTTTCTGTTGATCTGGTGTTGATCCGTTAGCGAAGGTCATATACATCACACGTTAATTCCAGTGCCTACTTCGAAACAAGAACGAAGTCTCAATTGTATAGTTGCAACAGCTAGGTACCCTGCAAACGGGAACGCATAATTAGTTCGCGCCAGAAAAAAGCAAGATGGTGGCACTATTCACCATATAATCATACAAATATCTCTCAAATCTTATTTAGTATCACATCATTGTTAGCTACCGTAAAAACAATTTTTCTAAGTAAAAAGGTATACGACACAGACTGACGGCTACATAAAGATCCATTATAGTCACTGAGTGTATAATAGACGGCTATTTGTTAAAAATACATACCATTAAAATTTATTTAAACATATTCCGTGCTCACATATTATTAAGTGTATTTACAATACTTCTAATGACTTAAGTAAATAACTTAAATTCAGTTACACACAGTTATGCTTCCTTTATTAATTTTTGTGGAATTAAACAAACTGGTTGTTTATTTTTTTGGAGATTCAAAATAATTTAATACTAATTTAAAGTATAAATAATTGTGACCATGTTTGTTTCTTCGGGTTTGGCTCTGTCTGTCTTGTGTTGTTTATTCGATTGATCGTAAACTTTGCACGATTGTTCTCAGAAAAAGCCTATGAATAGTTTCAACAAAATCTATTTATTATGTTATTTCGGAATAGTTACATAGAAACATAGCCGGGGCTTACCACTAACAACAGCTATAACATATATTTTAGACATATACCGCACATACAGCATGGGATAATACATAGGTACTTTGCATCAATTTACGCGTATTCTTTTATAGACTTGCTTGTAGAGGAGAAAAATCGTTCATCCTGCTACTGACAATGCCAATTCGTTAATAGCAGGCTGCCAATGTCCAGCAGTGAGCTGCAATACCTAAGTTTCAGAAAAGTAGCAGTTGAACATAACACCGGACTCGAACCTGATGCAGATTTGGGCACATCAAATCTGGTATCTCCTGCCAGAAATAATAATCTAAAATGTGTAATTCCAATATTGCAAGCGTACTAAATTTTGACTTATAAAGCTATTTATTTAAACTTCAATGATTTAAATTATAAACCTTTCTATATAAAAAAACAACAACAACAACAAAGAAGAGAGGTTCCTGATTAAAAAAAAAATTTTTTTTTATTACTATGTAAAGGCAATGGGAAAAGTACGCACTGCATGCACTACATTACACATACGGCACGCACAGTGCACTGTGCACTTCGTACAATCTTCATAGCCGATTGTCCGCACCGCCGACGGACTCGTCATAACTGTATGTAACCTGCACACACACACATGCCAACAAAAAGACGAGTCTTTCACAATTAGCTCCAAGTCCATTAAAGACCGCGAAAAATTACGTCTCGTACGTATTGTTCTGCCACTGAAAAGATAAACACGTCCAATGTAAGCTAGCAGATGTTCTGTATTGTGTGTTTACAGACTTCGTATAATTTCGTGTGAATAGACGTAAACATAAATAATATAATTAAGTTCGTACCTATTGAATTGTCAAATCGATAACCTATATATAAGTGCTCTGGTATTGTATTAATACAAGAGTTTATGAGACTAGTAGTAGGCAGCGGCTTGGCTCTGCCCCTGGCATTGCTGAAGTCCATGGGCGACGGTAACCACTCACCATCAGGTGGGCCGTATGCCCGTCTGCCTACAAAGGCAATAAAAAATAAAATAAAAAAAGACTAAAATATTATGTACATAAACGCGTTTAAATACTGTGGCGATAGTTATAATACAACACAAGATATTAAAATTTTACAGAAGCCTAAATCTCGCTTACGACGTTTTCATTAAGAGCTTGCAAATTTACAAGTATGAACAATAGCTTTGGGACCGTCGGTCTACCGAGCAACACCCGCTCGGTGGATCTTCCCTTCGTCGTTAAATTCCACAAATACAAAATACTTTTCATTTTAATTTCAATCCTTCCACGCTCAAACTCATTTAGTATTTATAAAACATTGATTTAAATTTTACATGCAATAAATATTTGACACGAAATACGAACACCCAAAACGTTAATCTTCGTTTAATCTACAATGGAAAATTTGTTACTCAATAAAATATGTTATCATTTATTGCTCTATAATCCATCTGAAAACAACAGGAAAATTAAAAGGGGCACTTCTACTTATTGTTTATACCCTTAATATTATACAAGTCACGGCTGTTTCCCTGAGTGTTTGTACTGCGAAACATTAATGTCTGAGGATGGGAAAACTGTTAAAAAGTTCCATTGCGACTTCGAACTCTTATCTTAAAGGGGTGGTGGTATTCGCATTGTTGGTATATATGAGCTACGATTAACACTTTAACACCTTCGATCCGTGAGCTCATTCACAAATGTAAGCAAAAAAATATTCAAAACTTACACAATACTGGTCACAGTCAAAACATCAAAGGATTCGATTCACCAAATTTGTTTTTGAAATACTATGTAAGTATCTATTTACGCACGGTCATAGATCTGGCGAAACGCGCGTCGACTACATTTTGTTTAAATTGTCCACGTTTGTCAAAACTTCAGTAAATATTATATTATTATTTATAATGTATGTACATAAAATTTATTTTTGATTTGTCAACCCTACGATGGCATGTGATTTTGCTCGAATACAGGATCTACGCCAATAGTTCCAATATAAAGAATAGCTGTACATTGAAACAGATTAACAAAACTCGAAACTCTGAGAAGTAGAGTATTTTCTCCTTTGTTTGGCAATCGATTTTTTTTGTTTTATAGCTATTGACCAAACTTAAGTATTTCAAGGGATTTTTATGAAAATAGTCAAGATTTTTTTATTTTTTTAAAAATGTAAAGAACAATACAAATAAGTCTACCTAAAATTAAATCTTTAGATTAGTCCGGGTTTATTGAACTGAAATAACTGGCCGAACACAAATTAAAATAGATTTCGGTAGAACATAACATTAGCTACACGAGTATATGTGACCCCGACAAAGTTGACGAACCGTTGCGAAGGTAGTTGAGAACAAAGCAATTAACGACAAACTTTCAAAAAGGGAAAACAGTTTTTTACAAGTTCATTGCCGATACTTAGATTGTTAATTGGGCAATAACAATCTGACAAGCAAAAATATATATTAAAGAAATAGATTACGTAATAAATGGCGGAGTTGTAATAACAACGTGAAACTCGGCATTTGGGCGCCAATGAACTCTGTTTGGAAACATTTAACTGAAAATAGGTAAATAATCGTGATAAAGTTATTTGAAGGAAGTAGCCACTTCAGTGAAACCGTTGCTCTATCGTTTATGTAGATTTTAAATGTAGATAATTTTATTTTTCACGTAAACCGAAGCAGGCACGTGTATTCCTCGTGTTACATTTGACACTACAAGTCGCAATACAATATTTTTTTTACTGCTTTATATATTTATTTGGACAAGCGCACGGCCCTCGATTTAGTTTTGAAACATTTCATCGTACTGTACCGATTGTAGAGTTAGCATCGAAACTTCGGTTGTATTGTTTTTGAAATTGCTGTTCATGGATAAGTGAAAAAGAAGCTCGAGGCATATATCGCGGTTAATTATAATGAGAAAAATGCATAAGCGATTCTAAGTTCAAGTTCATGTTCACGAGATAAAGGAGAACAAAAATACGTACAATTTATTTGTTTTCAAATTATTTAATCGCAAAACTGTTTTCGTTTCATGGCCGTTCCTAATATGTAGACTTATAGATTAGGCTTGAATTATCTACGCGACTTAAATAAATTATCCATAACACTACCAATTGTTACTAAAAATAACTCATACAAAATTCATGTTTTCAGAATTTGGTTTTGGAATTGGTTAATTTTAGTAAAAATAGTAGAAGTCATTTCAATTTATCTGTCTGTGAATTCAGAAAAGGGATTACCTTTACTTTTAATTAATGCCTTAAGAAGCCTCCATACATTTTTTAATTCAACATGTCGACACGTATTTATGTTTTTGTTTTGTTTTGTGGAGTCCCTAAATTTGCATTTATTTATGAACCACTAGTGGTATCTATATATTAATACGTGAAGCAGAAACTTTGTATCCCTTTTTACGAAAATTGCGCGGACGGAGGAGTATGAAATTTTCCACACTGATAGAGAATATAGAGAAGAAGTGCACAATGCTAATATTTTTTTAACATAATGCATAAAAGATACATTAAATCAATAAAGAAAACATTACACACATTACATACCATGTATTTGACGCACACACGCATGCATACTATTAATTGTCAAACTTTTGTTCTTGCCGTCTGTGGTCAAATTGAGAATAGATTAAATATTGTTTGTCTTTATTAATATATTTTTAAAGTGTAGCCTTGGCGAAATTTGTGATTATAGAAGTATAAAATACAATCATAATAGTGTACAAACTTACAATTCCAATTAATTAGAGTCTAATTTCGACTACTACGGGACCTCTAGTATAATTAAATGATTAATACGAGTCACATGAGTGGCAGATCACTTGAATGTCACAATTATCTATTCTATTAGATGGGTTAAAATTATTTCTTTGTGCTTCCAACTTTCGATAAATGAAAGAACGATGGATACTCTATAATTTTCATTGGAAGACTGAATCTCAATTTCCCACGGGCCACAAAAACAAATTACCAACAGATTAAAATAGTCGTCATTTCGTGAGAATTATAAATAGTGTGTATTGTTTTAATACTGCGACATGTATCAATATCAGTATCAATAATAATCTTAAAACCACTACAACAATCGCTGTGTGTAAGCAATTGATATTCTTACGAGATAAGTGTGACAATAATCTATTAATCGTATTAAATAATTACAATTGATCCGCTTCTTGTGAATTGTACCTTATCATACCATTTTTATTATTCTGTCCTTCAACTTGAATTAAATATTCAATAAGTCAAATTTCACGCGAAATTTGTATGTTTGTATTCTATCTGACGTGCTTACCGCTTATGATGTGTATTTCATATTGCTCTAGGATCTCGGCAGTGTCAGGAGCACAGTCAAGTTGTAATTAAAAACTTTTTTCAGACTTCGTTTGAAGACAGACATGTCCTAGTGCTCGATGTGAATGAAGTGTGGAATGGCAGTTCTTTTCAATTATGAATACTACATGGCAGAATTATGTCTGGCAACAAGCACACCGTGAACGGACACATTGTGTCCAATTTGTAGGGAACTTTTTTATTTATTGCTTAGATTGGTGGACGAGCTCACAGCCCACCTGGTGTTAAGTGATTACCTACCCGTGCGGACTCACAAGAGGTCCTACCACCACTACTACAATGAGTTGAAATACTTGTGATTACGTTCTTGAATCTCTATGAAATTAGAACCTCATTCCCATTTGAACTTAGTCTTCGACTATCAAACTTTCGATGTCCCTTACTAGGCTGATAACAGAGTGCATTGTAAGCACGGATATAAATATATTCCCATTTATTTTTCATCCCTATTTCTACCGTGAACTTTACAGGCTGAAAAGTCGCTGTACAAAAAAATTGTGACTATGAACTCATGTTTCAAGATGTGTCCTTACCTGGAGAGACTGAAAAGGCCCTCAAACCCAAGTTCTCCCTCTATCCTAAAAAAATATGCGTCAAGCTGGGAGATGGTGGTATTCACGTTTCCATTGAATCTGGTTATCACTTAGTGCGCACGTATACTTTCGAGTGGACTATCTATAGTCAAGAAAACGCAATTAAACGCCATTTAACCAACCCCAAAAAGGAGGAAGTTCTCAATTTGGCTGTATTTTTATCTGTTCTCGGGACCTTTATGATTTAATCTCGTGTTTATTATTTGGTCACGGACAAATCGTACGTCACAATTATGTCAACGACTCAAGAACACCGAAGATAACACTGTAAAGAAAACAATAGAATGATTTAATTAGTGGTTACTGGTGGTAGAAGTCGTCGTGGCCTAACGGATAAGACGTCCGGTGCATTCTTGTTGAGCGATGCACCGGTGTTCGAATCTCAGGCGGATACCAATTTTTCTAATGAAATACGTACTCAACAAAGGTTCACGATTGACTTCCACGGTGAAGGAATAACATCGTGTAATAAAAATCCAACCCGCAAAATTATAATTTGCGTAATTACTGGTGGTAGGACGTCTTGTGAGTTCGTGCGGATGGGTACCACCACCTTGCCGATTTCTACTGTGAAGCAGTAATGCGTTTCGGTTTGAAGGGTGGGGCAGCCATTGTAACTATACTTGAGACTTTAGAACTTATATCTCAAGGTGGGTCGCGCATTTACATTGTGGATGTCGATGGGCTCCAGTAACCACTTAACACCAGTTGGGCTGTGAGCTCGTCCACCCATATAAGCAATAAAAAAAACGTGACTGTTTTAATAATAATTGTAATTTTTTCAGGGATTCGAACACTTGTTAGCAAGCTTGGGCCTTGGCGGACGCGTGTTCAACTCACCTCATGATCTGGCCCTGCATCGCATCAATGGAACCTTTAGGCCACTTCACGACACCTTGCACAGACATCGACGCTCTCCACCAGAAATTAGCTGTTAGTATTTTGGATTACATTTTTAATTATACCATCGCCTTTAAATTGCAAGGCATGTCCCAAAATATTTTTTGTTGTTAATCACGGTAACCATTGCTTACTATATAAAGTTGTCGAATCGAACAAGAAAGAGACCGAAATATTTCAAATAAACACATTGTACTCTTTATTGCAATCTATACTAATATTATAAAGAGGAAACATTTGTTTGTTTGTTTGTATTGAATAGGCTCCGAAACTACTGAACCGATTTAAAAAAATCTTTCACTGTTGGAAATCTACGTTATCCCTGGGTGACATAAGGCTATATTTATTATATTTTCAAAAAAGTTAAGGATCTTTACTGAAACTCCAATAATGTAACATAATGTGCTAACAAAATTACGTAAAATTCTTTACATCGCGTGCGCTACTACTTCCCAAGCGAAGCCGGGGCGGGCCGCTAGTATTAAATATAACAGTTTATTTTTCAATAATTACATCATTACATCGAATACATTTTGAAGTCGTCGTGGCCTAAAGCATATGGCGTGCGGTGCATTCGTATGTAGCGATGCACCGGTCTTCGAATCCCGCCGGCAGGTACCAATTTTTCTAATGAAATACGTACTTAACAAATGTTCACGATTGACTTCCACGGTGAAGGAATAACATCGTGTAATATTTTTATTTATTTTTATATTGCTTAGATGTATGGACGTGCTCACAGCCCGCCTGGTATTAAGTGGTTCGAACCGAAACACATTACTGCTTCACGGTGGAAATAGGCGGGGTGGTGGTACCTACCCGTGCGGACTCCCAAGAGGTCCTACCACCAGTGATTACGCAAATTATAATTTTGCGGGTTTAATTTTTATTACACGATGTTATTCCTTCACCGTGGAAGTCAGTCGTGAACATTTGTTGAGTACGTATTTCATTAGAAAAATTGGTACCCGCCTGGGGGATTCGAACACCGGTGTATCGCTACATACGAATGCACCGGACGTCTTATCCTTTAGGCCACGACGACTTCAAATAAAAATCAAACCCGCAAAAATTATAATTTGCGTAATCACTGGTGGCAGGACCTCTTGTGATTCCGCACGGGTAAGTACCACCACCCTTTTTCTGCCGTGAAGCAGTAATGCGTTTCGATTTGAAGGGTGGGGCAACCGTTGTAACTATACTGAGACCTTAGAACTTATGTCAAGGTGGGTGGCGCATTTACATTGTAGATGTCTATGGGCTCCAGTAATCAAATAACACCAGGTGGGGTGTGAGCTCGTCCACTGATCCAAGCAATAAAAAAAGAAAATATTAAATATAACAGTAGAACGTTTATTTTTCAATTACATCATTACATCGAATACCGTTAAGTTCCACAAATAAAAGCAATGAAAACTTTAAAGTCGCATGTTTTTTTTTTTGACAATCGCTCAGTTTCGTGAACTCATTTTTTAATAGCAAAATCGAAGCGACAAAAACTGAGATTGCTTTCGGTACTTGCTAGCCGTTCATTCTAATCTTTATTTAGGTAAGAACTAAACGAATAATAGTCACGATTTTTGCGCAAAAAACTTTAGTAAGCAAGGGTAGATTGTTACCTACAACTTTCAAATGCGTGACTAGATCGGATAATATTTTTAGATGCAATTGTACGTTCTAAGACGAAATTGGTTTCCATTGAAACTAATCGACCACCACCTAATGATTTAGAAAAACCTGCAAACCATTGTACCTAATAACTCGCACCTTGCATATTACTGTGTTTATTTAAAAACTTATTAATTTTCAATTCTTTTAATTTAAAATTCTTCTTTCATGATAATAAAACGCGCCAATTAATTGTTTCATAAGACTCTATATCTTTGCATCTAATTCATACACCTTAATTAAGTATGTATGTATCACTCGAGTTAAGTAGTCTGGTACAAAGTATAAAATAACTAATGTGATAATTATCTCGTATCTAATCACTGTATAGTTTAAAATAGTATATTTACGGGAATGTAATATATGTCTAACTACGCATGGAATAGTGTAAATTGTGAATAACAATCGTAATAAACATATAAAGGCTTTTACCCGAACGGTATGCTGAATGCAAGATTAAGATAGACACGTTAATTATTATTATTTTCCATCATCTAATTATGAAAAAGTCAAAGATCCGGTATAACTGGTCTTATGGAAAGTTTTATAGAAAATATCGTGTGGCTTTCTCAAGTTTTACGATTCCAAAGTTGCATTGCTTTATTACGCAAACGGCTTTTTTTTACTGAACTTTGTTCCTCAACTCTTATCGAATTTCAGGAAAATTTTAGTACGAACAAAACAATAATGACCTCCGAACAGTTATAAATCTCGTTCACTTTTTTCTTTTCTTTCCTACCTAAGCTGATAGCCTTGAGATGCTATTTCAGCGTAACCTTAACTAGTAGGTGAGCTCACGGGGCTAAAACCGGAGTGATGCTAACACTGAACCTAGCAGTGCTTCGCAGAATCTACCACTGGATCGGAAACGCGAACAACTGAGAAGATCCGGCGAGAAACTCAGTGGGCTGTGTCTATGGGTTAATTCGCTCGTCGAGCCCTTCGTCGCAAGCGACGGGACGATGCTATTTTGACTAAAATGAACAAGAAAAGAATCCTTTACGGTGTCTTCTAAATAATTATATGTTAGGTTCTATTATATGTTCTATCAAAAAAGCTAATCGTTTTTACTAAACTGGAAAACAGACGAGGCTGACCTTCTTGATCGTCAGTCGTCATAGTCACTCAATGATGTCACCAACGCCCAAGGCTCTCACAAAACGCTGTTTGTCCTTGAAAAGTGACATGTCATAACGCATCCAAAACAAGGACATCCAAGAACAAGACCTGGCTGTATGGAATAAAGTCCTTTGCCTTCCCCATTACGGATAAAGTAATATCATCATCATCACCAAAACAAGGAATGACCAAAGATGTACCGGTAAAATGGGGCGATTAGGGATTGAGAGGCGAATCGGGAAAAAACCGGGAAAATCTTTCGATGCTCAATATAAGTTTTATATTCGTTGCAAAATCTTCCATTTTTTGTAGTTTAATAGTAGAATGTTGAAAGTTCACAAAACAACTCTGAACATGCATGATAATAGCTGCTAACTTATAAAAAATCGCGTTTCAAATTAACTTCCTGTGGTGGTAATTATTTTAGTGCTAGAAACTTTGCTCTCTTTTATTTATTTGATAATAATAGAAGACGACTATGATTTATAAACGTTATTTAGTGTTTGAACCAGCATATATATTAAAGGTAAGTCTCAGTTGTTATTGGTTTTAATGTATTTGATTAAATAAAAATACATGTAAAAATCTGTTGTTTTTGGGGATATTGGGGACGTCTTAGGTACAAATAACAACGAAAAAGGGGTCAATTGGGATGAGAATACGTGAAATGGAAACGACCTAAGTATAAATAGGTACAGGTTTGTAGGGTTGTCTATGTAGTTATAACAATATTTTTTAAATTTGTTGGTAAAAATCTGGTTTATTCGAAGCGAAATTGGGAATAAGTCTTTAGTTGAAATAGATAAGCAATTTAATATAAGTAAGTCGATTTTGCAGAGACATGTAACAAGATCAATGAAATCTCAAGGTGGACAAAAATGTCTAAGTAATACATAATAAAATATTTAATATTTGTTCAGAGTGGGGGTATTCATCTGATTAATCCATGGAATAACCGACACACCTAATCTCTTAACCCAGATAGAAATATCAGCACTGTCGATTGCACCTATAATTGAGGTGATGTCTGCCATGTACTTTTGTCAGTTTTTCAATTTTTTTTATTGATGATCACTTTGTTGGTGCAACTAAATAAATAAATTAATTAAAACTATATATAAAAATAAAAGTAGTACCAACCCTAGCAAATTTCTCATTTCGTCCCAATTAACCGCAATTTTCGGGTAAATAGGGATTACACCTATTTTTCCATTTTTTGCTTAAACTGGAATGCTAGTTGCATAATTTTAAATTAGACAACAAAGATGCCCCCAAGACTCAATCATTTTGATCCTTATATAGCATTTTATACATCAACAACTACCTTAAAATTGCTCATAAAGTTGGAATTTGTCCCGAATCGCCCCATTTTACGGTATCTGATTTTTTGAAAAAAAAAACAGAGTCATATAGCTCACGAGAAGTTTACGACGCAGTGCGTGGAGTCAAACAGGAACTCTGATTCATGGGCCTGCGAGCGCGATTATTCTATTACGATCAACCTACCCATACACCGATTACGGCCTCAAAATTTATCATGATTTATTGACCTTTACTGTCAAAGACCTCTCGATTCTTTGTTGCAAATGGATTTTATTATGACTTTAGCAACATTAAACACCGGATTTACCTACATTAAATTGATGATGTTCATTTCCATTATTAGTGACTCGTTAGAAGCTGATCAAATTAAAATGTGACTGCAAACCTTACACTACAATTCTTATTAAGCCAATTATTACTGTTAATACGTTAAATTAAATCATTTTTTCATTCCTGACGCTACACAAACCCTGCATACAATCTCTCTAACCTTGGTCGGCTTCGAAGTCTCCATTGCTCTACTTGAACGCAATATTCGAAGCCTCATGCTATAAACTATTCTCTCTAAATGCCCAGCCTTCCTTAGTGTTTGTGACTTGTAAAATCAGTTAAGTTTCATTACAATATGAGAGCGTCCATACGGTCCATCAGTAGTCTATACTCGTACCTACAAGTCTCTGTCATCTAACACAGCCAAAAATTTGGCAGAGCATCCACTCCCATAATAGAAGATATTATGTGAGTGCTCTGAATGAAACTGTCGACTTCCGGCCATCTTGCCGATCTACCATTATTACCATAAATTAACAGTTGCAGCCTCAATTAATAAAAGCTAAAATCTTAACCATAAAATAAATAAAAAATAATATAAATTTAAATTAACATAAAAGCTTAACATAAAACGTCATGCCATTTAGTGGGAAAAACTCTTTACAAATTTTCACCACGGCGGTGCGCTGGTTCAATATTTTTGAAGGAAGTTTTTGCGGGGGCGAGTATCGCTAAAGATGCACAAAAAGAGGGGCAGGCCGAGGCTAGGCTATGAGGAGTAGACGTACCTGCCAACCCGTCGCTAGCTTCTTCTAGGCTGCAGAATTCAACGTCACTGCTGGACGACGCGTAGTGGCGGCAACTTGACACGGCACTCTTCTAAATTATTTGTCCATAAAACTGGTATACCACTCGCGCAACGACGAATATGATCGTCAGTAAGAGTTCGTATAATAGAGTCCAAAAAATATATTTATGTGAAAAAACAAGCGGCGTGTGCGTGTACAGCGTGTGCGGTGCGGTCGGCGAGTCTTCTTTTTTTATTTTTGACTTTTGCTTATATGTTTTCTTTTTAGAATTGGCCATGCGAGAGGTTTTATGTCTACTCTCATTAAAAAAGAACCACCATTTGTTAAATGGTATGTTTTTTTATGGCTTAAATGGGTGAACGAGCACACAGCCCACCTGGTGTTAAGTGGTTACTGGAGCCCATAGACATCTACAATGTAAATGCGCCAGCCACCTTGAGATATAAGTTCTAAGGTCTCAGTATGGTTACAATGGCTGCCCCAGCCTTCAAACCGAAACGCATTACTGCTTCACGACAGAAATCGGCCAGTAAATCGGCGGGATGGATGTAATATGCTCTGCGTCAACCCTGTCCCGCCGTCTCAATATCCCCGACTGAGCTCCGGCCCGGTCCGAGGTAGAGCGCCGGTTGTGAGCGGCAGGAGTTTTTAGTGAGGTTCAACTCCCACATACCGCACCTGCCGCGCGGGTGGGATCCGGCGATTTTCTCATATGGAAAAAAAACCCCACCAGTACCTAAATGAGAAAGTAAACTTAAATAGCAAATAATTATATAACTTTTAATTAAATATATTAAAACGTTTGTTTCGCAGCTACAACCATACTACAGAAATCATGCCTTTCACCGAGAGAAATATTGGAAGTGTACGGAATGGAAAACGAGCCCGGGGTGATTACCATAAGACCGAAAACATTTTTGGAGATGTGTCCTGCACTTGTTTATCAATTGGATCAACGTTCGTGTTACAAAACTGAAGTATCTGCACCTAAATTAGATAAAATTTGGAGTAAGTTTTAATTGCTGCTTTGAATTTTTTTGACCGTTAGGTCGAACAAAGGGAGAAAAAGTAGCCTATATTCTTTCTCAGGACTTAGACCGGTATTTCCCAAAGTTTGCATCAAAGTTGGGCGCAAATTTGATAATTAAGAGGGGCAATCGGACTAAATTAATATAGAATATCTATATAGATTTTGAACTTGAACTTAGCGTTTCCAAAGATATTTTTTGCCACGTACCATCCAGCTTTGGAATGAACTCCCCTCCACGGTGTTTTCCGAGCGCTATGACATGTCCTTCTTCAAACGAGGCTTGCGGAGAGTACTTTATGATAGGCAGCGGCTTGGCTCTGCCCCTGGCATTGCTGACGTCCATGAGCGACAGTGACCACTTACCATCAGGTGGGCCGTATGCTCGTCTGCCTACAAAGGCAATAAAAATAAAATAAAATAAACTTCAGTTTTTTATTTGATATAGGTATGTTTTGAAATATTACTTAGGTACTGTGTTTTGATCAAAATTTCATAGTGATTTCTTCCTAAAACCTATCATTTATGTTTCTTAAGTAAACAAACCAATTTTTTAATGTAAGAAATTATGTAAAAAAATAAGACATAAAATTTTAAGAAATGTTATAGTGGGACATGGCAAAAAAAAGGTTGGGAAGCACTGGATCAGACTATTTCATAACGAATCGCATCAAAATCAATTCGGTAGCTGGAGCCTGAAAACATAACAGGCAGATAGAGCTACTTTCTATTAATATAATATTTGGTATGTTACTTTTGACATCGAATAGTATAAAATATTTAAAAGTAAAATAATAGAAAGAAACCTTAGATTGATGATAATTTTGTTACAACATCCGAATTTAATGCAACAACTACTTACTATATTATGCTCTAAATTAATATCTTTTTATCTTTGAAACTACCTCAAAATCGATGAAAAATGCGCGAAAAGCAAACAGACGGACAGAAAAATCTAGAAATAGCTGGTTTTGTTTTACTTTTCTTGACTGCATTTCTAGGCTATTTTACAATGTCACATCGGATAACATCGGATTCTGCTGCTCTATTAAATACTTATATAATATTAAAATTAATATAATACTACCTTCACATTGTGAACATTAATGATGACTTTCATTACATGAATGATTATTATATTCTTAAAAATGTCAAATCCTCGAACTCCTCGTAATAATTATGATACTCTTTTGTATTTGAAAACTACTTCTGGAATAATCTATATATATAAAAATGAATTGCTGTTCGTTAGTCTTGCTAAAACTCAAGAACGGCTAGACCGATTTGGCTAATTTTGGTCTTCAATTATTTGTGGAAGTCCAGAGAAGGTTTAAAAGGTAGATAAATGTGAAAATGCTCGGAATTAAATAAAAATAACAATTTTGTTTTTTTCTTTGATGTGTCCCCCGTCCGACGGATTCCTTTTGTTTGTTTTAAGTTTCTTTTCTTTTATTTCTCGATTGAGGCACTACGAAGTCTGCTGGGTCAGCTATTATTCTATAAATCTGATTTGATTAATAGTTCCCATTTATGAATCAGTAAGATTTTTCAAAACCAGATCTTTAACGAGCATTTTTTTGTTTCAGCCTGGATTTACGCCACCTTAGCAATTTTAGTGATTAGTGCCACGGGACTCCTGGGTGTAGCAATTGTCCCGCTACTAAAGTCAAAAATATTTAGCCACATATTGCATTTTCTGGTAGCTGTAGCCGTCGGAACACTTTGTGGCGACGCACTGCTACATCTTCTACCACATGCGCTGAAATCTCATGGTCCACCTTCAGAACCGCAAGACGAAACAGAAGTGGTGCTTAAATGTAGCGTCACTTTTATCACAATTCTTTTCTTTTACACTGTTGAAGCGATCATGCAAACTATCAATGGAGGTCATGCTCACTCACACGACCAAAATAAAGGTATTGAAGAAATCAAAACAGACTCGACGAAACAAATTGAGCCTATAGAATTAGGTGCTATGATGCCTGGGTCGCCTCCGCCGCCAATTGAACGACCAATGTCGTCCACTGCTTTAATGGTAATCGTTGGTGATGGATTACATAATCTGACTGATGGTTTGGCAATAGGAGCTGCGTTCAGTGGCGATCCGGTCACAGGATTTGCTACAGCTTTAGCAGTTTTCTGCCACGAGCTGCCACATGAACTGGGAGACTTCGCGGTACTACTCCGATCTGGTATGAGCATCAAGCGTGCTCTGTATTACAACTTACTATCTTCTGTGCTCAGCTTCATGGGAATGGCAGGCGGCATCTGGCTCGCTGAAGACCACGAATCGGCGTCACAGTGGATATACGCGGCGACCGCTGGAACTTTCTTTTACATCGCACTCGCCGATTTAGTTCCAGAAATAAATGAAAATAATAAAGGCAAAAGTGTTAACTTATTACTTGCCGTAATGGGTTTTCTAGCAGGCGGTGTGATTATGTTGCTCATTGCGTTACACGAAGACTCTATACAATATCTGTTTAGAAATGAAGAGAAATAAATTTTAAATAATTAGCTTATTCTACCATAGCGAAGTAAGAATGTGCATGCCACTTTAAGGTTGTGACAAGATTTTGACTTATGTCTTAAGAGATGTGGCAGATTTTGTAAATAAAATGTTTTAATTTTAATTCCTGTACAAGTCATGAATGTTTATTGTGATATTTAACTGACGATTGTTATGTGTGTTGATGTCTGTATTTATATGAGCTAGATAAGTAAGGTAGGAATAATATTTTACAGAAGAAACAAGTTGTTGTTTCACTGAAAAATTTAATACGATATTTGTTATAGGTACATATGTCGAAGCTTATTAATAAGATGAGAAATTAAATACGTAATAGCATTAATATTGTTCCAAGCTGAAGTTTTGATTATGTAATGTATTTTTTTTTCATATTTGTGCACAAGACAAATATAAACTAAACTTAATTAAAAATATATTTTCCCACTGCTCTTGTAGTTTTTTTTTTAACTTCGATGATCAATATAAGTAAATAAGGACAATGTTATCCAAATGTTATTCAACGCATTTAGGAAAGGACCATTTTCACATAGTGAAAACCAGATACAACTTTTATAATTATTTATTGTGTATAAAAGTATTGTTTGTAACGGTATTGGTGTTGCTAAATGTGGCTTCTCTTATATACCTATTATTACATAATATTTCGCCCACAAATAATTTCACAAATTTTGTTCATGCACAGGCATTTAGCAATAGTCAGCAATGTCCGTTAGAGTTTATGCATTTGTTGTTTAAAAGACACTCATGAACTGAACTGTCATCGGCGATAACATTTGCTTAACACACTGAAGTAATGGTGTAACATTTCTGTATCGTCTGTCTTACTATGAGGGTGTCATACTTTAGGTAAAACGTCCAATGTATTCTTATTGCGTTATACGACAATACCAACATATCAACATACCGAACAACTTACCGAATGATCAGATACAACTTTCTAAATAAACAAAGAATAAAAAAACAAAAAACAAAGAATAAAAAAAAAAGATCAACAAAACGAAATCGAAAAAAATAATTATTATTATTTATTTAATGTCTTCTAAAGCGGATAAAACCTTAAGATATGCCGATGATACAACAATCCTTGCAGCCAGCGAGTCCGAGATGGCTGCGATCTTGGAGCGAATAGAGAGAGTGAGCCTTGAATTTGGCCTGCACATAAACCGTTCTAAGACCAAAGTGATGACGGTGGACAGAGCTCAAGTTTTAAGTCCATCAAAAGGATTATGAGAAAGTGGAGGAATTTATATACTTGGGGTCGCTGATCTCTAACAGTGGTAACTGCGAGAAAGAAATCGGACGCCGGGTCGGAATGGCTAAAAGTGTCATGACTAGCCTCGATAAAAACTAGAAAGACCGTAATATTCGCCGAGTAACTAAGCTGCGTTTGGTTCATACGTTGGTCTTCTCTATCTTCCTGTACGGGGTGGAGACTTGGTGTCTCAGGAAAAAGGAACGCAAAAAGATCGATGCCTTTGAAATGTATTGCTGGAGAAAGCTACTACGCATTCCTTGGACAGCTATGAGAACTAATGTCTCCATCCTCGAAGAGCTGAAGGTCACCAAGCGCCTGCTGACTACGTGCCAGGAAAGGATCCGGAGTTTCTTTTGGGCACATAATGCGATCCCCATTGCACAGCCTGGAGAAACTCATTATTCTCGGACAAATGGAGGGGAAGCGCGCTAGAGGAAGAGCGCCAGCTAGATGGGTGGACCAACTCAAGGAGGTGACTTGAGGCCAGATACAGGGAGCGGTACATATGGCGCAGAACCGGACCGAGTGGAGAAGATTGACAGTCACGATCCTCAGCATTGAGGGAACGACCAGAAAGAAAAAAAGAAAGCGAGAGATGATACAGCGCTCCTGATGAAGAGTATTCAATGTCGCAAATGGATGTTAGCTATGCTGGGCTTACTATCAAGCCGTTGCATACCCTAAACTCTGATGATAAGGTAATTATAATATAAACATCTCTGCTATTTTTACCGCAAAACAAAGTCTCTTGATGTGACTTATTAGGCTCAAAATAGTAAGTACATTAATGTGTCAGTGAATTATCATCATTTATTTGATATACTCGTATAAAAAGTAAATATTTCATTTAGTTCAGTCTCATTTCATCATTTTCTATGCCAATTAATGTATGAACTACGATCCCTTTGCCTATGCAATTAAATTAAATAAAAAATATGTAATCTGTCAGAATTATATCTTATGTAGGTACATACATTAAATTAATAGAAAATAAATTGCTCATTAGATAAAATAACAAAAGTAAATACTTGCAATATATGAGCATAGGGAGTAATACGTGTCTATCCCAATAGATTTTTCTTGTCTAGTAAATCAGTATTTAAAATCTAAACAACAAAATGTTTAAAGGATTGGTAAGTTTATCCGTATTTAAATATTCGCAGGAGTTACTTTTATATTCACTATACTCAAACAGCTGAGTTTATTTTGTTTATAATTTTACCATCATACTACCACAATAACTCTCCTAAAAACCACTCTACGGCCTTTAATTTATTAATGATCTAAGGATTCTTTCTTATGTTCTACATAAATCATTAAATAAATATACAACTGATTTGTACGTCTTTTAAAAAAGCATGAAGAATACATTGTTGCATTTTCTTTGTGTTTTTAATCTTTGAACGTATTAGAACATTTCCATATTCATTTTGAAAATACTGAATTCTTAATCATTTTTTGAAGTGTCTATTATATAAATATGCTGGTAGGCAATGAGAAATAGTGTAATGTTATAAATTAATTTTATTATTATAGTTAGTGCTATATTTAAGATACATTATTGACTTGGCTGCAAACAGAAGCCAAAAATACAAAAAAATATTGTCGAACATGGTTACATCAAAGTATTTGGCCATCTTTCAAAATTAAAATTAGTTCAGAGATTTTAGATAATAATGAAAAATCATTTATTACAGTAAATGTGCATTTTGAAAAACTTATAAACCTGAATCTTTAATATTTGTAGGTAAAGTAAAAAAGATTGTTTTAATATGGTAATTACAACTGTAACTGCTCCTTATTATGTCTAATTATAAATATTATTTAATAAAACATCCCAAAATTTACTATCATTATGTTGTGTATAGAAAAAAAATACACCTCAAGGTTCTACTTTATAGAAAGATTTAAACTTAAAATAAAACAAGTATAGAATACAAAGTATTCACATACAAGACTTAAATACATACAGACATGAGGAGCCTATAATACTGTATTTCAATGACTGGCTGCGGGGGCCAGTCTGAAATAACAGTTCCTAAAATGCAAACAATACCAAATATGTATAGTCAGCAACTTAACAACATATCGTCTTCTCACATTAAAACTGTATAATCTTAAAACTTACTAAATTTTACAGGAGGGTATTTTAAAAGTTTAACATATTATGATATTTTTAATATTAATCATCTTTGCAACATTTATTTTTCAGTTTTTACCAGTTACATTATCTGTCTTTTAAAGTTAGATAAAATTGTTTTTTAATCTTGTTAATGGTAGTCCAAATTTAAGTAAACTAAAAAAAAAAACTAAAGCTTAACTACGCTCTTTTGACAGTATTTATGAGAAAATTATGATTATTATTTATGAGAGTATTAAGCGGTAGGCAGCGGCTTGGCTCTGCCCCTGGCATTGCTGAAGTCCATGGGCGACGGTAACCACTCACCATCGGGTGGGCTTATGCACGTCTGCCTAAAAAGGCAATAAAAAAAAAAAAAAAAAAAAAAATTGTTGTTTCTTTTTTATGTGGGGTGGAAATTAAACGAGCCACTCTAGCTCCTCTAAGAAATCAATAAAGCAATAGTGCGTCCGGTCCATTGCCACCTGCATCCAACCTGACCCAGCGGCTCTTACCAGGTTGTCGGTCCATCTCGTAGGTGGCCGTCCCACATTGCGCTTGCTAGTACGTAGTCTCTACTCGAAGATCTGCTCCATCGGCCGTCCGATCTTCGCGCTATGTGGCCTGCCCACTGCCACTTCAGCGTTTTAATCCTACAGGCTATGTGAGCAACTTTGGTTCTTCTACGGATTTCCTCATTTCTGATTCGGTCTTGTAGAGAAATACCAAGCATAGCCCTCTCCATAGATCGCTGCGCGACACTGAGCTTCCGAAAAAGATCCCTTGTGAAGCACCACGTCGAACAGTAAGTCATCACTGGTAGCACACATTAGCACTGAGGGATTTTGGACGAGAACACATTTTTTAATTTACCGAACGCTGCCCAGCTTTTTTTTACAGGCGGCTCCCCATTCCGCATTTAATGTGGATTTCAGCAATGTCAGGGGCCTACATAGCAACCTTGACGCCGTACACCACCACCTTGAGACGGCGCAGCCTGCCCTGCTTTTTTTAACGGAGACGCAGATATCTGCTCCGGATGATACCTCATACCTTGAATACCCCGGCTACGTATTGGAGCACAACTTCCTGCGTAAAGCCGGGGTGTGCGTATTCGTCCGNTGAGCTCCCCTCCACGGTGTTTCCCGAGCGCTATGACATGTCCTTCTTCAAACGAGGCTTGTGGAGAGTATTAAGCGGTAGGCAGCGGCTTGGCTCTGCCCCTGGCATTGCTGAAGTCCATGGGCGACGGTAACCACTCACCATCAGGTGGGCCGTATGCCCGTCTGCCTACAAAGGCAATAAATAAAAAATAAAAAAAAGTTGGATCCGCCTACTGACCTCTCTCTCGAATTTGGATTTACCTAATCGGGCTGCCTGTCCCAGGTAAAAATATTCGTCTACAACTTCAAGAGTAGAGTTCCCAACAGTTACTGGGGTGGGCTTAACATGGACATTGAACATGATTTTCGTTTTATCCATATTAATTTTAAGGCCCACTCGTTGGGAAACTCTATTGAGATCACCGAGCATCTGCCCCAAATCTTCCAGCGACTCAGCCATGACCACTATATCGTCAGCAAATCGAACGTGTGTGATGTATTCACCGTTTATGATTGATGCCAAGTCCTTGCCATTCCAGGAACTTGAAAGAATCCTCTAAGGCAGCGGTAAACAGTTTCGGAGATATATCATTTCCCTGTCTTACTCCTCTCTTTAACGTGATTTCCTCCGTGCAATGCTCCTGTACTCGGACTGACATGGTAGCGTTATTAAACAAGTACTTCAACCAGGCATAGTGGCCGATTATACTTCTCGGTCTTTTGTATAAACTGCCGCAGCGTATGTATGTGGCCCATGATGCTAAAGCCTTTTCGGAAACCGGCTTGTTCGATAGGCTGAAAATCATCAAGCCTGCGTTCGAGACGGTTCGTGATGACTCTCGAGAACAGTTTATAGACATGGCTCAGCAGTGTTATGGGCCTCTAGGTCTTCAATAAGGTTTTGTCGAATTTTTTGAAAAACAAAACCACAACACCCCTGTTCCATGCCTCTGGCGTTTTTCCTTTGAGCAAGGAGGAATCAAATAGCTTCTGAAGAACTTTCAGTACCAGCGTCCCGCCCGCTTTCAGAAGCTCTGTGGTGATTCCATCCTCGTCCGGTGCCTTGTTGTTCTTGAGCTGTTTGAGAGCCATCCAAATCTCGTACAAGCTGATGTCCGGGATATCCTCGGTATAATGTTGGATTAGCTTGGCTCTAGGGTCTGCCACCAAGCTTGCAGGCTCATTGAATATCGAGGTGTACAACTGTTCACAGAACTTCTCTATCTCCTGTAGCACCTCTGCCTTATTCAACGTTACACGTCCATCTTCAGTTTTCAGCTTTGTCAAGTGGCTCAGCCCAATAGACGCGTCTCTTGCAAACACTTTGGAGCCTTGGTTCCACTCAATAGTCTTCTTGATATGTTGTGTATTAAAGGAGCGTATGTCGTGTCGTATGGACTTCATGATTTGTCTATAGATCTACCTATATAACTCAGCGTCCTCAGAAGTCTGGAGTGTCATAAAACGTCGGCTAGCCATGAGGCTCCGGGTGAAGTCTGATAGTTTTTGAGGTCAATTTTTGCGGTGGGTTTTAAAATACTTAGACCCTACAGTATGGACAGTTTCCACCAGCCTGCTGTTGATATCATCCACTGACGCTTTGCTATCTAGCCCTTCAAAGTGATTCGACAATTCGAGTTGAAACCCTCGCGGTTATGAATATGTGCATTCGGCGGTCGGAGCGTGGACTTCATCAGACGCGATCTTTCCAATTTGACATTGATACTCAATATGCCTCTGACAATTCGGTGATCACTCTAAGTTCAGTTCTAACCCTATGAATCACAGAGACATCATTGAATATCTGTCTACTGGTGCTCATGATGAAATCGATCTCATTTTTTGTTACACCATCGGGACTCATCCAGGTCTATTTCCTGTGGGGCGGCTTCTGGAAGAAAGAATTCATAATATTGCTATTTGGTACAGCAATGAAACTCTTTTACATTCTAACAATATAATATAGACTGCTGTCACCTGCAGCCATGCATTTTTTCTATAGAGGACTACATGTTACACCTACGCCACATACACCTGTTTGTTAACACGGCCATTGCCATTAATCGTATCCACTCTCAGGCACAGCTCTACCCTTTTAAGTTGACCAGTGCTCCACAAAAACTATAGTTGTTAATTGGTAAGGAGTCCTTAAATTGTTTATGTATATATTTTTTGTTTTGGCCTGGCTAAATATATCTTGAGTTGCGTTTATGTAACCAATCATAGGATAGGGACACAATTAGTTTGCTACCTACCACTTCTGTGTTTGTACCTGCGCATCTATTGTAAGCCTAGAAACTCATCAGAAGTTTTTGAAGCCTTTATTCCACTGGAGGATGACATTCTTTTAGAACATAGAACCTCTGATTATGTAAAACCAAGCAGCAGAAAAAAAATCTATAGCCATGTGAATAGAGCCATAGTGTGACAAATTTTCAAAAATGTCCTGTCAAAAAACAATGCAACTAAACTTGTTGATTATCTGTTGTAGGTGGCAATTCACCAAGTCATACTTGATGTCGGTTGGTAGATTTAGTTCTTTGACAAATAACTTGATAGTCCCCCAAATCAAGTTTGCTGAAAATTCATAATGTTCTATGAATTTAATTTAACATAAAGATCGTAAGCAGTACACCACATTAAATTCAGTCAAGACCTATATGGTTTTATTACCCCATTTATGTTGGTGGCTAATGAACGAGTTTCGTGTAAATAGTCAAAATAATAATATACTATTCCCAAAAAACATTTCTGAAAATAAACGCCGCCGTTCAATTTTTAATGACCCTACATTACTAAAAGACTTTGCAGCCATGGTTCGGTGTTAAATTATTACCACCCACCAATCAACCACACTTGAAACCAGAACCCATAACTCTTGTGTGGGAGAAATAAACGGGATGGTAATGCGAGCTCGGAATGTCAGTAAATACGTAAAGTAGTTCTTTACAGCTATGATTTTTGTAAATCGTTGTTATTTATTCATCGGAAGTCGTTCGTGCAGAGGAACGTTAGGTACGCACTACTTTGGAAAAAATTAACACTGGTATAGTCACATTGCTTGATACGAGCACACTGTGTTCCTCATACATTGGACTATATAATTTTCAAATGCCCAGATTGTGATAACGCTGCCTAATCCTTTGCTATTAACCCGCCAGGCGGTGCGACCCACATGGATAATAAGTATGGCCTAAATCCAGTGAAAACTACCTACTAAAGTCAGACGAATAATCTTCACTTTAAGGCAGAGAATATACTTTCTGAAAAGTCAGTGTATAAAGCTGCGTAAGATGCGGAAGTCATTTTCATAGGAATTTCTTCCTTCACGTTATTTTAGCAAACAACCTGAGGATTAGGATTTTTTGTCATTTCATGGCCTACTAAGTTGTCTATTCTTGTCCGCAATAGACAGTCACTCATAATGTGCCTACGTTATGCTTAGTTTCTACTTCCTTCAAGTAGCAGAATGTTGCATCGTCCGTCAGATTCGTTTTACATGGGCACGGAAATGCCCAACAAGGGCCCAAAAATGTTTCAGTTGACTACAAAGTCAGCAGCCTTTGTTTGTAAAAGTACCTACTTAGAAATTCTTCATTCTCCTCAAATTCCGATGTATTCCAGGATGGATTTGCTTTTGAAGTAATACCTCCATCCATTAATTCGGTTAGTGTTCGGTAATGCGGTTTGAATCCTATCATTGCTTTTTTTAAACCCCTTTTTCATAACCAACTCGTTTGGTTTTTCCCTCGACACCTACGTGTCCACTTACACAAACTAGGTGCGACTCATTGCTTAGATACTTTCTTCTTTATTAAAGAATGAACTTCGGCGTCTTTGCGGAATTTGTTCTATAAGTCTTAGAATTTAAATTGTTTTATTCTTATGTTTACCACAATCTCCGACATGCAAGCGTTGGTCGTACATTTCTACCGTAAGGACATCGGTTCTCGTCGGATTAAAAGCTTCATAAGTGCCAATTTTGCCCAACCTAATGCTTGCATTTTTACTACATATAAACTACATACGGTCAACAATAATTTAAAAATTGAAATGTCAATGTCACATACCTTGAAATATGTAAAATTTGATAAATAATACGAAAAATGTCTTGAACAACACCAAAAGATATTTCTTGTATTTTGAAAATATATATAGAATGGGCTTTTTCTTTTCTATCGTTAAAACCTCTGTAAGTTTATTCTACACATTATATAATTAATAATTAACATAATTTAAATACCCGTAAATGTATGAAAATGCTAACGGTATCAGTACTAATTAAGATTATAAAAATTTAAAAGTTTGAGCCTGACCTAATTCATTATGGTTATTGTAAACAAGTGAAAAATTGTGAAAAATGGAGTAACGTCGATCGCCATTGAATGTAATAAATAATATTTTTTTAAGAGATTTTATGACCTGGTAACTAAGACCTTTAGGTGATTTCTTATTTTAGTATAAATTCTTATTTTTATGAAAAATGCTAATATGGAGTTAAATAAAATAAAGATGATTAATTTGAGACATTAATCAACTGGGATGAAATTAAATGAAATGGGAATCTCAGTATAATGGTGGTCATTAACTGAGATTTTTTCAGTGGACTTTTTAGAGGATCCCGAGAAGTTAGGTCCAGCGGCTTTGTTTCGTTTTCCTACATTTGTGCACTCTCACCGATATTAAACAGTTAATAAACCTCCGTTATTAGACATTTAAATCTGAAGAAACACTAAATAGACAAAATAAAATAAATCACACAACTTCACTCCTCGCGTTCCCACCAAAAAAATCCAAGTAATAATAAAATACACAGTTGCATGTAAACATATTTTTGTGTATAAATGTAAATTAAATAGACATGCTTGCTTCCGTGCTGAAACACTCATGACAGATAAAATCAATAAATTTCATTGATAGATCTAGTTCTACTATTGCATAATATAATGTTACCTTCTTAATTGTTTTTCAGATAATATTTGGTGCAGGAGTTTACACCGGTGTCTATGTAGCACAAAATTATCAGGTACAATTATCATTTTTACAGAACACAAAGGAGGCCAGACACATGTATTTGTAGTTGATTGGTCACCTAATAATTGAACATCTCTGTCCATTATAATCCTGGTTCAATAAATTTATTTATTTAGTAAAATTACATGGCCTCTTTTGTTCTAACACCAATTTATCAGTATAAAATTGTTAAAAATTAACAAGCTGCTTTTAAATTCAGGATGCAGTCCAAGTAATTTGTCAGAAATCTGTACAGAACTGTGACAAGGCTATGGAAAAAAAGAAATGGTTTGTTTTTTTTTTGTTTATTGAGCCAGGAAATAGTTGTGAGAACCTTGCATTTTATGATATTGTTTCAATTAAATTTGAATTTTCCTTACAGATAGAAAAAGTAGAAGATCCTAAAGCACTGTTTGAAAAGGCACAAGCTTTCGTGAAATCAAAACTTTCTGAAGTACAAGATGGAAAAAAAGATTAAAATTAGGAAAATGGGAACAGGAATTATGAAATAAAATTGTTATTAATTGTTTGTACATATTTATTATTAGTTTTACAATAATAGTATAATAAATACAATTCAAACTGTGAATCTTTTAAACTAACATTTTTCCCTAGTGACTAAATTAAATTCATATAAGTGATAAACCACCTCCAATATGTTCGAGTCTTGTTTGAGGCTCTTCAAATGCCAACCAATCACTTGAGTGAGTTGGTAACAATCCCATACTCTGACACTTATAGAGTGCTAAAAGAATGTTTACTATATTTCCGATACAATAAACAATTTTTTGTCCGATAGCTTGTGTACCTTCAACCATTTTGAAAGTACTTTGTGTAGCAAACAGCGCCTTCACCGGCCTCACTATTAACATGCCAACCATCATTATTGGAAATATAGAGATAGAGTTACCAGCCATGTACATAATAAAAAGATTCATGGGTACTTGTTTCAAAGGGCCCAATGCCACATCCCATAGTTTTTTAATGAGGAGTAAATTAGAGTCTGAATCTTTTGATGATTCGGCATAATTAGCGTTTGAAGACTGACTGTAACCTGGGGGTGAGGGCAGTTCTGTTGAAAGTTGTTTATTCCTGGAAACATTGCAATTTGAAATAAATTTGATAAGTATTTGTGTATTAAACTGTTCAAGAAACGCATTACTTACTTTTGATTAAAATCTAAAGCCCATTTAAGTTTTTTATTTGATTTGAGCTGAGACATTGTTACGATCCACGTGAAAAATAGTAATAATAAATAAAGTAACTTAAGGTTTACTTGAGAAACAGCGGTACAATAATTATATCTATTGAGTACTATTTTATCACTGAAAATCGTAATTCGGAATCTTGAAATATTTATTTTCTACGTGATAATCGTGATATGTCACAGACTTTTTTAATTTCATTCGTCCTTTAGACAAGCATGGGAAATAATGCCCAAACAGCCTTATCCAGTATTGTAAAGCCAAAGCTTTCTTTGAAGAGTGTTGAGTGATTGAGATATAAAGAGCGATGTTATGAAAATTGTTTTGACCATACCGCTGTAATTATTCACACATCGATTTATATGATTGCTTAATAATTATTTAATATTTGTGAAAATACATGGAGGAGGTAATTAAATAAATCGGTACAACAGGAAACGCAATCTCATGTATGGAAAATTTTACACAATACAACGCTATTCATTTGCTACAAATTTAATGTCTCATGTTTTGCATTTTTTCTAACTGCCAACCCCAATTTAAATAGTTATTTACACTATAAAACCCATAAAAATAAAATTAATTCATTTATTTCTATATTGAAACTTTGATGATCTTTTATTCGCTTTTATCTTTTCCGCTAACTTCCACAACATCGAAAGCTTAACCAAATCGACAGCCTTTTAGTCAAATTACCAACTTAAGCATATTTTTTTCTCCTACCGACGCCGAAAGTTCGGTTTTCGTCCCGCTGTACAGGGAAGAAAGTATAACTTTTTCTCCCTGGATACAAGTGCGCATGCGCGTTAGTATCTACGTCTGCTCTCACGCACCTAAAATTCTCTGCCATTGTTGTGCTCGGGTAATTTACAATATTGTGTTAAACAAAGATAAGTTCATCAGACAGTTCTTATTCAATTAGTTTATTTAAAAATTAAAAAGCAGTTAAATGGTTTTTTTTATGAGTATGGGGGGGTGTCCGCCCCCCCTACCCCCCGCCAGGGCTTCGCCCCTGGACCCCACCGGGGCGTCGCCCCCGGACCCCGACTCGGTACTCCACGAACTTTCAGCCTGGTAGGAGAAAAAATAGTATGTGCACCGCGAGACAAAAGTTGGATTCTTTTCTCCCTTGGTGCACAATGTACTATTTTATGCCATGATATATTAAAAGTTTTCTAAAAATAATAAATAAATAATATAATAAACATTTAGAAGTCTACTTGGAAAGAGGCAGAAAGAAGCAACGTTTCTGTCCATGACATATGACCTAGGGTATAATTACCGAGATGGATAAATTTTAAAACCCCTTGATCTAAATGTTAGAATTTAGACCAACATCTGTTTTGTATATCTTTGCCTTTCTAAAGTGTGTGAAATATAACATCTAAAAAATATTAACGTAAACCATATTGTCCTTGCCACAGCAAAACAATTAGGTTAAATATGAGTCGACTATTATCAAAACCGGCAATGTGACTTTTGGACAATTATTGGTAAATCAGAAAAACGAATTATTGACTTTGTGTTCCATTGGCAGTCACAAAACTCTTCTAAACGACATCTTAGATAAATAACAGGTTAAGTATTAACCTTTATTTAATGCAGGTTTTGAACCGTATTCTTTGAAGGAGACGATTATATTCAAATCAATCTATTGACATATCAATAACATTTTTTTGTCCAAATGCACAGATTGATAATAGACGACAGATGCACAGAATGATAATAGACGACTCATATAATCTTACTCTATAAAAGCAGTCGTGCCTCCCGTTTTGAAGGGGGGACAGCAGTTAACATTATCAATCAATTTAAAAAACTATCTCATGAATTAAATTCGATATGCCTGTATATTGGAAACAAAATAGAAAGACTACAACAAAAGAGTAATAGAATATTAAAACTGCAACTTTAAATATTGTTTTCTGCCTATCTATTTGTTTGTTTGCGCATATCTTTTTAAATTAAGTATCGCTGGGCTTATAAACATAAGAGACACATTTCGATCAGAGATCTCACAAATCAAACAAATGACCAAGGCCTCTAGTTCATTCTCTATTAAAAACATCATAAGGGGCAAAATTAGCAAAAACTTACATAGCGCTTACGACATAAACGACAATTAGTTTGTTTAGATTAGTACAATTGCCTAACAACAATAATTCACCCGTTGTTTACGGAGTAATAACGCCACATCGGTGGAAGATCTTTCCGCCTTAATCACTCTATTAAGGATGCAAACAGCGTTTCCATAAGCTTAATACTTCGCGCTAAGCTTTGCTCTATCCGTCGATTTGCAAGCAAAGTAAATTGTCCCTTAGAAATAAGGTGGCACTCTACAAAACTTGAATACGCTCCGTTATGTCCTATGCAAGTGTAGTGCTCGCTCACACGATCTGCACTAACTTAAAAACACTCCAAGTTATTCAATCCCGTTTTTGCAGGATAGCCGTCGGTGCCCCGTGATTCGTCAGGAATATCGACCTCCATGATGGCCTGGACCTAGCATCCATCAGTAAGTATCTACATTTGGCATCAATGCGCCCCTTCGATAAGGCGGCACGACACGAGAACCCTCTCATCATGGCTGCCGGTAACTACATTCCCAATCCTGTGGACAGAACGGAAAGCAGTCGACATCGCCCAAAACACGTCATTTCGGATCCTCCCGATCCATTAACGGTGCTTTTAGGTACCTCAAGCACCGGTTATCGTTCTCGTCGAATCCGTCGCTTGCGACGAAGAACTCGACGAGTAAATTAACCCACAAACACAGCCCACTGAGTTTCTCGCCGGATTTTCTTAGTGGGTCGCGTTCCGATCCGGTGGTAGATTCTGCTAAGTACGGCTCTTGCTAGGGTTCGTGTTAGCAACGTCGTCAGGATTGAGCCCCGTGAGCTCCCCTACTAATTAAGGTTACGCTGAAATATCCTCTCAAGGCTATCAGCTTAGGTAGGAAAAAAATATATTTTCAAATACTGACCAAGAACATTTACATTTTAGCGGTGACTACGAAATTTCGGAACTTTTGAAATAGACCAAATAAACGTGGGATTAAGCCGAAAAATAGTTATAACATTCATCTCGCGAACGCTTCGACATTACAACTATAATAATAGGTTGGGGAAAAAGTTTCTTCGCATTTTTTAAGAAAATTCACAACATTTTTTAATATATTATAGTTTATTTACATTTAACTAATGTACGTAGGTACCATTTTGTTCGATAACTTTTTGCCATCTTGTAAGTAGGGACATGATCCCATTGCTATAGAAATTTTGGGGCCTCTGATCAAAATACCGCGATAATTGGTTTTGGCAGTCCTCTCGTGATATTAACCTGACACTGCCTAAAGAGTGCTGAAGAGACCGAAACAGGTGGAAATCTGAAGGTGCAAGGTCAGGACTATACGGCGGATGCATTAACACCTCCCAGCCAAGCTCTCTAATTTTTGCTGAGTGGATAAAGATGTGTGAGGTCTTCTAGCGTTATCATGATGAAAAACCACACCCCTTCTGTTGATTAATTCCGGCCGCTTTCTCTCAACTTCTTGCTTTAATCTCATCAGTTATTCGCATTAGAGTTCAGAATCGATGGTCCTGCCTGGTGGTAACAGCTCATAATGAATAATTCCCTTCCGATCCCACTACACACACAGTGTTACCTTCTTCCGAAGGGACATTTTACTCCGCTACCGATCATGGGGTAGAGTCTGCCGAGAATATACGCGGCACTGCCGCAAACTGGTTTTGTATGCAGGCGGAATGTCATGGATGCATCCAGGGAGACTTCCAGGTTCTTGACCTTCCTGGCCCAACAGGCCGAAGAGGGTGATAGGGGTGTGATATTTATCCTTCTGATGTGTTTCCCCTTTGAAATAGCACTGCTGTGCTTTTCGCTGGGTTGATGTCTATGCACCATTTTCGGAATCACTGTCCGAGGGCTATGGCTGCGCTCTGGAGCTTACTCGCCATTAGGGACTTGTTTCTACTCGAGTAGTAAACCGTTGTGTCGTCGGTTAATAAGGCTAACTGGATCGGCGGCGAATGGAGAATGTCTTTGATAAATAAACTAAATAGGAGCTGCGAGAGGATGGAGCCTTGCGGGACTCCAGCCGTGAGCGTTCGCGGGAGGACAGGGTTCTTTCGACTCGATAACTAAAAGAGCGACTCGACAAAAAGTTCCATGGTGAACACGAGACTGTCCAGCACGCCCACGTTGAATAGTTTGAAAATCAAACCGTTTTGTCAGACTTTGTCGAATGCCTTTTGCGACGTCGAAGAAGAGAGCTCCCGTGTATAACCGTTTTGGTCGGTTAATCCCTATGAAAAAGTGCTCCGTGAGGCGGTGCGCCTGTGTGCGCATGAGTGAGCCGATTCCGAATATTTCATCGATAAGAATGTCTTTGAATGAGGCGTAGCCTCTCAGGCGTTTGTAGAGGCAAACGCTCACACAGCTTTCCTAGAGACATGAGGAGGCTAATCGGGCGGTAGCACGTCGGATGATTTTTTGGTTTACCGGCTTTATGTATGCCGATAACGTCCGCTTCTTTCCACACAGCGGGAAGGAGACAGTTCGTCATGGCGGCATTGAAAATAAGTAGCAACATCACGATGAGTTGGGGGGTAGAAGTTTAATAGCGCGGTTAGATATACCGTCGGAACCGGGAGCCTTGCGAGGACGTAGGTCTTTGATTAGACATTTAACTTCCATCGGGGTGACGAGAGTATTATTCTCTGTAATACATTTAACTTTGTGATGTTCTGTATGCTGAATGAAATAACTATTTGACTATTAATTCTGCTTGTATTCTTATATTTAATCTAAATGTAAGATATCCAGCAGTGAAGAATGAAATAAAATCTTCGACCTAAAACAAAACTCTACCATGTACGTTTTCGATGTAAAAAAAAAACAGGAGCGCGTGTCCACTGGATGCGAGCTGCGCAAGATCAGTCATTGTGACGAATCATGGGGTTGGCCTGTGTCCAACAGTGGACGTCTGTGGGTGATGATAATCTGGCAGCGCTCAAGTGCGGTTCTTAAATTACACAAACTCAACTTCACAAATAGCTTCTGCGATTTCCATGAGTATATAAAATGTTATTGACATTTGTTGCCAAACGAAATCATCATTTTCATTACTACCAAAACTTGCTTTCGAATAATTATACTATAAAATGTATTAAAAATTTGTCTACCAGTGTATTTTTTAATTATTATCTTAGCGATGAAAATTAAGGTTGCGTTTTGCAATTTACATTATAATTAACCATAGAAAACAGTTCATTAAAGTCAAGGAAATGAAGGTAAAAAATAATAATTTTGATTCTGCTACATGTTTCAAAACAACATTTTGAGGCTCGGAGTAATAAATGACAAGACGTCATCGGTCCAGAGTTGTCGAAAGCAAATTTTATATCAGAGAACTTGTTTATAGTTTTAAAAAATAACAGGGTGAATGAGTTCGCGGCCTACCTGGAGTTATCGTCATTCCCGATCCTGCGGACAGAATGGAAAGCAGTCGACGTCGCCCAAAACACGTCATCTCGGATCCTCCCGATCCACTAACGGTGCTTCTAGGTACTTCAAGCACCGGTCACCGTTCTCGTCGAACCCGTCGCTTGCGACGAAGGGCTCGACGAGTAAATTAACTCCCAGACACAGCCCACTGAGTTTCTCGCCGGATCTTCTCAGTGAGTCGCGTTTCCGATCCGGTGGTAGATTCTGCGAAGCACGGCTCTTGCTAGGGTTCGTGTTAGCAACGTCATCAGGTTTGAGCCCCGTGACCTCACCTACAAACGTTAGGGTTACTCTGGAATAGCCTCTCAAGGCTACCAGCTTATGTAGGAAAAAAAAAAAGGTACACAGAGCTCATAGACATCTCAACGTAACTGCCACCAAACGCCCCGAGTGAACGGCTCACTATAGGCTAAGCTAATATAAGACTCAGAAAATACCGACCATTCTGAGGCGAATTCCTATAGTACAATGCGTTTCTATTATGAAACCCCACTTCGATAAAGCGGCATGACACGAGAACCCTCTCATCGTGGTCGCCGGTAACTACATTCTCGATCCTGCGGACAGAGTGGAAAGCGGTCGACGTCGCCCCAAACACGTCATTTCGGATCCTCCCGATCCACTAACGGTGCTTTTAGGTAACCCAAGCACCGGTCGTCGTTCTCGTCGAACCCGTCGCTTGCGACGAAGGGCTCGACGAGTAAATTAACCCACAGATACAGCCCACTGAGTTTCTCGCCGGATTTTCTCAGTGGGTCGCGTTTCCGATCCGGTGGTAGATTCTGCGAAGCACGGCTCTTGCTAGGGTTCGTGTTAGCAACGTCGTCAGATTTGAGCCCCGTGAGTTCACCTACTAGTTAAGGTTACGCTGAAATAGCCTCTCAAGGCTCTCAGCTAGGCAGGAAATAAAAAAAAAAAGAATTTGCACGGACCTGCGCCATATTGTGACGTCATAACTGTCAAATCAAAAAAGAGGTATTATAAAATAATATTTAATTTGATCCCAAAACAGTTGCCGATTCCACTCATCCTACTGCTTGAGCAATCATCATGATCGTCACCGTCAGAATCCTCATAGCTACTATCCTCTACAAACAATATTTAAGTCATTATAATGGTTGATTGGTTAATTATATGTATGAAAGAAAAAATATGTATTTGTATCACATGTGTAAGCGAAATTAAAATTATCATCTTCCTCTATTAACTCTTGTTGCCAGTATTCATTTTCGAGACACCGTACATGGTTGATCTCTCTCTGTCAGTCGTCTTTTGTGATTGAGGCTATAGCTTCGAGTGTTAATTTTTCGAATTCTCTTTTAGTTGGCGCATATTTTTGTCTGCCACCCTACCCATTATTAAATGCCATATATACTCTAAACTACCAGTCACAATTGTAGAGTGTATTATTATCTATGGGAGTGGTAGCCTCAACACCTCGAAGCAGTTCTATTGAAAAATTATATAATTACCACTGTATGGTTTGTTTTTTTATATTATATGTATATATATTTTTTTTTTTTATTGCCCTTGTAGGCAGACGAGCATACGGCCCACCTGATGGTGAGTGGTTACCGTCGCCCATGGACTTCAGCAATGCCAGGGGCAGAGCCAAGCCGCTGCCTACCGAAAACTAGTGAAGCTCTGGCTTCGTGTAGCATGGCTTAAATTAGGGATGTTAAAAATATTGTTGTTATCCATACTTTTTATTGAGTTTTGACAGATCGGTACTGGTGGTAGGACCTTTTACTGGTGGTAGGACCTCTTGTGAGTCCGCGCGGGTAGGTACCACCACTCTGCCTATTTCTGCCGCGAAGCAGTAATGCGTTTCAGTTTGAAGGGTGGGGCAGCCGTTGTAACTATACTGAGACCTTAGAACTTATATCTCAAGGTGGGTGGCGCGTTTACGTTGTAGATGTCTATGGGTTCCAGTAACCACTTAATAGCAGCTGGGCTGTGAGCTCGTCCACCCATCTAAGCTATAAAAAAAAATAGAGGTAATTGACGCGCACAGTCTTATTTGAAACCCATTGAACTTTTTTGGCACCCACAGAAAAAAATGGGGTAGTACTACTGTAGGCTTTTTGTTTCAAAGAAGCGGTGGCATTCACGAAGGGTCATGACTTGGTATCATGAAATAGACAAATAATATTACACAAAAAATATCAGTTTTAAAAACACTTTTTTATTAACAAAAGTCAAAATTTTAAAATATATTTCGAATAAAAAAAAATGGCCCTCACAGAACACAGTAAAACGTAATAATTTCCGAACCATTATTTTTGAGCAGCTAATCCGAAGTCTGAACAATAAAACCACAATGCTGTGATCTCGATAATTCGAAAAAATAACTACAGTACGAACTACACATTTAAAAATCACCATAGCTTCTTGAATAGAAGTTCTATATTTATGCCCTGGTCAAAGATTCTGCAGATCTCTTTTACAATGGACGAGTAAGTAGTTAGATGATTTACCAGACTTTTATTATGTACAATAAACTATTCTTTGATTTATTTGTTCCCAAATATAACAGTGGTAAATGTGACATTACGTCGAATTAAAAAAAAAAAACTTATTTATTGAGCCTAATTTCACTGTTCTAATAATTTCTTATTCAAATTCTTTAACCAACAAATCTATATATTATGTATATATAAAAATGAATCCTTATTTCTCTTGGTCATGACGTCACGCCAGAATGGCTGGACCGATTGCGCAAATTCTTTTTTTGTTGTGTTTCTTACTGCCAGGAGAAGGTTATTGATAAAATACGAGGATGTAAAAAAACTGAATTTCACAGTTCACGGCAAACCGTTGCTATTGGACCAATAAATGTTGTGTGCCAATATTTCAAGGCATTTAAGTATAAAAATGAAGCTCCTGGATAGTGTTGTACGAGCGGTCAAGTCAAATTGACGCAATTGATACCGCCACCGGAGCCACATTCATTGCTTTGGAAATGGGACATTCATTGGAAATAAACCAGATTCTAAGCATTTTTGGACTCATATCCAGCAATACAATAATTATTATTGCTTTCAAATGACGTCATTTGAAGCTTTAAAAGCAAATTTTATTCAACGTTCAAGGTTAGTATATTGAAAAACAATGAACTTTTACCAACACCTGTCTGTTGCAAAATACGTTGGTGGGCTTCAATTGAAACGGTGTATCAATTGAAAGGGCGTAAAGTACATATTTTGTAACTCTACGAATTGCCAGAAGCAGCCAGAAGTGACTAGGCAATATATAGGGGATAGGGGAATGGCAGTGCTGACAAAGTATTTTGAGAGCCACGTGGTAGAACTTAATAGTGGTACTAAAAACAATCCGCTATACAATATCCTATATTACATCATTTTCTCAGGTTCAGATTTGTATAAAAGAAAATTTAATAAAATCAATAATAAATGATAGGGAAGCGAAGCGAGGGCGGGTCGCTAGTCTATACTAATATTATAAAGAGGAAAGATTTGTTTGTTTGTTTGTTTGTTTCGAATAGGCTCCGAAACTACTGGACCGATTTGAAAAATTCTTTTTCCATTAGAAGCCGACATTGTCCCTGATGAACATAGGCTACTTTTTTTTTTTTTTTTTGTTTCATGTTTGTTTTAATGTTTCCGAAGCGAAGCGAGGGCGGGTCGCTTACTAGCGACCCGCCCTCGCTTCTTTCTTACTAGAAATGAATTTCGACCTACAAGTCATTGCGATTTTTAAGTAAGATGCGTTTGTTACTGCTTACAAGTTTCATTATCACAAAATATGTATTGAATATTATTACAATGTGTAGGTTTAGGTCACTGTCGTTAAGCTTTTCTTTCGTATTATCTCAGCTTCACTCGAAACAACGACATTTTCATCAATTTCCAGAATTTTTTCTCTTGAAACTACATGCTCTTGACAAAATATTATTATCCTACGACATGCTTCTCGTAAAATCTCTTCTGGTACCGTCAAGACGATCCTCATGTAGTTGGGAAATTCAAAGCACTGCAAAAAACATTACATTGAACATTTATATTTTTTAAATCTATATAAGGCTGAAAAATATGTTTGTTGTTATAATTCTTTTTTTTTAGTATAACTCTACACGTGTATAATACAGACCTGTCCAGGTAAACAGAATACCGATTGCTCGGACATCAACCTCTCCACAAATTGAAGTTCGTTTTTGAATTCCGGAAACTTGTTTGTTTTTATTTCGATCATCATGTACATGGCACCTTGAGGCATTATTGGGCGTAATCCTGGCGCGAGTACTAATTCCTTGTAAGCCAATTTTGCTTGGTTCTAAAAAGGCCAATAATTAGTTTTTTTTATTGCTCGTATAGGCAGACACGAGCATACGGTTCACCTGATGGTGAGTGGTTACCGTCGCCCATGGTCTTTAGCAATGCCAGGGGCAGAGCCAAGGCGCTACCTACCATTATTTATATTTTCCATCTAGTTTTAACACACTTTTATTATCTTGATCTAAACCTGATCTCATCTATCTGTTATATAACGTGGTATACAAAAACTACAAAATGTTCGATTAACTTTAAAATATGCACGTGTCGAGGACTAATGATAACAATTCATTTAATTTTACTACGTTGGACGAATGTTCTGATCACCAGGATGTAGTTTAAATTTTGGTTCGCTTGTCTATTAAAGTGTTTTTGTTAGGTTTTAAACTACATTTGTTGTATTACCTAATTTTTAATATTTTGACATAATATTTACCTCTATAAATAATACGACTTCATCGAAAAAACTTTGAGGTGTATTTTTCAATATCGTCGGTAAAGCTCGTTGAATCAAAGTACTTGGACCTAGAATCCGTGTTGCCAAATTGTTTAGTCCTTTCCTCACTTCCTTTCCGAATATGTTGTTCCTATCATGTATGACAATCCAACCCATGCGCCAACCGGGTACTAAAAATCTCTTTGTAAGGCCGCTGCACGTTAGTATAGGAACATCTTTAGACAGTGCCGACATAGAGATAAACTCATGATCAGAGAAAACGAAATGCTCGTATATTTCGTCAGCTATTATCGGCAATCGGTTCCTTGATGCTACTTCTAGTATATCTTGTAAATGCTCCCTGCTGTACACGGATCCACAAGGATTCGATGGGTTAATCACAATTATAGCCGCTGTGTCATCATCTATCTGATTTTCCAAATCATCTAAATCGACCCTCCATTGTTGATCAGACTGCAAAATCAAAAACAATCACATCCCTTTCACCTTCAACATAACCTTTATCGAAGGATTTACGCAGTTATATAAAGAAAATAAAACGTAAATAAGCATAATATGTAAATCGGCTAGTCACAATAAACTGGAAACTTGTCGAGTATGTTTCTAGAAACTGGTATGGTATCGCCTGATGTCTACGCCACACCGTTTCCTTTCTTACCCAATACATTTTCGTACAGTACAAATTTAAATGATCACTATTAGCTATAACAGGACTATGAGGGTAAGTAAGGGTAACATTACCAAGGCCGAAACGATAATAAATAAATAAACATAATATATTTTTGCGTTTAAGTCATCTAGTCATCATTTTGATCAGTATATTTCTGTCAAAAGTCATTACATACTTATCTATTCGGAATGCTCTGTATTTTCTCACTATAATAATTAAGTCAAAAACATAATTATTTCAAATTAAGAATTTGGAATCTATGCTAACTCTTTTGTAAGTATTCAAAATAATAAGTTAATGAGGGAATCGGACAACGTGAAAAATTTACGATAAAATCAAGTATCAATAAATTACAAATAATTGAAGTGATTGCTACTTTAACCAAAACATACCACACCCTCTTGATTTACGTATTCAATGTTTATATTCGTCGGATAAACGATAAATATATAAATATATATTATAAAAGTAATATTATCAACGCTGGTAAACCTACCAGTAAATTGTAATATTTGATATCTATTCCTAGACCTTCTGCCAACGTCTTGTAGATCATAAACCCTGGTCGAGGTACCAAAACGTTTTGCCCGGAATCTGCCAAAACTGAAACGGCCAGTTCTATGGCATGTGAACAACCACTACACAACACTACATCTTCAGCGGTTACGTGCCCCTGATGAGCGCTGTATTCAGCAACCGCCTGCCTGGCTTCTATGTGACCTTTAGCAGGGCCGTACCCCCTGCTCGTGTGCCACTCAATACTTTCGCGAACAGCTTGCAAAACTTGATCTGGAGGGTTCAAATTTCCAAAAGTCGTCGGATCACCTATCAAAGGCAATTCATAATTTAAAAGTTATTTATATAAATAATCATCATCATTTTGATTGGTTGAACATTCTTGCAAAATATAAATATCCTGTTGACCTTGATTTCGTAAGTAGGTCTCTATGCTAAATTTAATTTCATCAGGATATAAAATGTCAAATTTACTTAGTAAATTCAGACCTATTTACGAATATGGATTCGGACAAAACAAAGATAGAAATATTTGAATGAAAGGTCGTGAAAAAAAAAAAGATCAATGTTAGTTTACCGGGAAAATATTGAATTTAGTTATGTTAACTGAAGAATAAGGTATTTTTAAAGTCATTTAAAGATACGAAACACATTGAAAAGGTCACCAACACCTATTTGAAAAAACTCCAAAAATTCATGATACATTGAAAATTACTTTTTTTAACGGTCTCTTAAAATCATACTTAGGTGTTATAGGCAATACCGATGTTTACTGTCGATTTAGAAAAACATAGAAATATACTTTTTACATTAAACAGGTAGGTAAACAATTATAATTGACATTGTTGCTAACGTCGCAAAATATTACCAACAACAGCGCATTCACTAATATCCTCTTTGAAAATTTTACAAACAATTTCGTCTGAAACAAATTTTTCCACTTGCTTAAAGTGCCTTAGTGCCCAAAGGGAATCAACAACAACTAAGTAAAAAGAATTGATAATTGTTCAATAGTTTTACGACGTTAGTTAGTCTAGATGTGTGTGTGTGTGTTAATTAATTAATCCGCTTAGAGACACTGAGACTTACCGACAGAAAGTGCGATCAGCTGCTTGTCAGGGTTGGGCTGGACATCAAGATTTTCTATAATTTCTCGTATTAAATTACGTGTGTTGCGAGCTAACGTTGAAGCTCGCACCTCCCATACAGGATTTCTCCGTGACCTTCGCGACATCGGCACAAAAATTGCAGAATATTAAAAGCTACTGGCTATACTTAAACTTGAGTTGTGAATATTGCTCGTATTTCGATACGCCTCACTTTTGTATTGAAACTGTGGCGTTTGACGAGCCCAGGCTCTCCGAGTCGCGAAACTGGTTTGAAAATGTAGATGAGATGACGGCAACAGAAGTAGCTTGTTTATTAAAATATAGAATGTTTAGAAGAACAATGTCAGTATTGATACAAAGGTGATAGGGATTAATAAAAATTATAATGGAAAACTAAAAGTATCTAGTAACTAAAAGTAGTAAGAAATTTGGCGGTTGTTACAGAACATGTTTCTAGATAAGCAAGCAAACATCTCAAATGGTGAAATATATGCCAAGGATTTTTTTAAATTACCTACCAAAACACATACACTGCTACTGCGAAGGTCTAACAAAAAAAAATAAAGGACATTCTAGAACAGCCAACACAGATATCAGAACGCGCGCGAAATTCATGGAATTGGCATTTGGGCATGAAGAATGTAAAGATACATTAAAGTGATGCATGATACTTTGTGTTGCATGTACTTTGAACACAAAACATTGCTTTTAATATTTTACAATTATTATATGTAATATTTTACAATTATTATATGTAATATTTTACAATTATTATATATATTTTATTTTATTTTTTTATTGCTTAGCCGGGTGGACGAGCTCACAGCCCACCTGGTGTTAAGTGGTTATTGGAGCCCATAGACATCGACAACATAAATGCGCTACCCACCTTGAGATTGATGTGCCCCACCCTTCAAACCGAAACGCATTACTGCTTCACGTCAGAAATGGGCAGAGTGGTGGTACCTACCCGCGCGGACTCACAAGAGGTCCTACCACCAGTAATTACGCAAATTGTAATTATGCGGGTTTGATTTTTATTATACCATGTTATTCCTTCTCTGTGGAAGTCGATCGTGAGCATTTGTTGAGTACACATTTCATTAGAAAAATTGGTACCCGCCTGAGATTCGAACACCGGTGCATCGCTCAACACGAATGCACCGGACGTCTTATCCTTTAGGCCACGACGACTTCATATGCCGGGTTCTACTGAATTTCTGCGTAGACATCGGAAAAACCATAATGTACCACCTACTAGCTGATAAAAATGAGTTTTTGAACTCGTGTTGAGTTAAATGATTCAATTAAAAATAATTCAACAGCCGAATTTTCATATACACATGTCATTAGGAGATCTCTTTAAATTTCAACTTTTTAAGATGCAACAAACTAGACTTAAAAAATAGACGGTTGGAAAAACCGGTTTAAGCTAGACTGAAACATCGCTAAGTTCAAGAAAAAGTCATCACAAAACAAGTACGCAACGTGTTTTGCTTATTTTGTGGCGTTAAATACGACATTAGGTAAGGCGCCATTCGTGTCGTATGAGGGATATTCCATGTTGACCATTTAATACAAACAAACACAAACATGTTGTTGTAAGCTCATGATGCAATAATTTAAAAAAAACCAACACACAGTTTTGAAATAACGTTGACATGTTGTTTTTATTTGGCTTTGATAGTGTTTTTATGGGTAAAAATATATCTCCTATCCTCTTTATTTGTATTTCAATAATTAGATTACAATAAGTAGTCTACAATCGAATCAACGGTTCATTATCATCATTAGGTAGCTGAAAAACGTCCAGTGCAGAACACAAGCTCTTTTTTGTTTTCCTACCTATGCTGATAGCCTTGAGGGGCTATATCTGCTTTGCCCTAACGTGTAGGTGAGCTCACGGGGTCAAACCGGAGTGTTGCTAATACTGACCCTAACAAGAGCAGTGCTTCACAGAATCTACCACCGGATCAGAAACGCGACCCACTGAGAAGATCCGGCGAGAAACTCGGTGGGCTGTGTCTGTGGGTTAATTCGCTCGTAGAGCCCTTCGTCGCAAGCGACGGGTTCGACGAGGACGGTGACCGGACAGGCTCTTTAAGGACCAAGGTTAACTATAATGATCAGTTTCTACACTGTACGCACTCATGGCACACTACTTGGTGGATATTGACACCATTTTCAACGCCTTAAATGATACTGAATTAAATTGAGTTAGTGTTTCTGATAGTGAAAATTCGTTGACACGAATAACATCTACTTAGGTACATTGAGTACGCGGTTTTGAATATATACCATGAACATGATACTAATGTGAATTTAATGACGTGGATTGTACCTAGTTGAATTACCTACAATTTTTTTTTTTCCTACCTATACTGATAGCCTTGAGAGGCTATGTCAGCTTACCCTAACGTGTGTAGGTGAGCTCACGGGGCTCTAACCGGAAAGTTGCTAACACTGAGCCTAGCAAGAGCAGTGCTTCGCAGAATCTACCAAACGGAAACGCGACCCACTGAGAAGATCCGGCGAGAAACTCAGTGGGCTGTGTCTGTGGGTTTACCGACAATAATAATAATTGTAATCCATCTTCATGAAAAAACCGTTATTTAGTTACGGATTAACTGAACACTCATTTTAATTGCTATCGATATCGTTAACCACTATTTTTTTATATTTTGTAATGACAAAAAAACTATTTTATTTGATTTCTTTAACGTACTATCGTAGTATGCTGACGACAAAGAAGTAGGTAATATATAAATATGGTGAATTTTAAACGAATTAAAATTAGCTTAATTTGTTACAGTTTGTGTCGTTTTGTTATCAATGGTTTTGACACCGATTCTCTTATTGAATTTTCATTTTGTTTTTAATTTACACTTAGTTCATTAAAATTAGGTTATCGAGTCTTTACATTAAGAAATAATACAAATTTACCTCAAACAAGTATATGATATACATTTAAACAATACAATAATACGACTTGTAAGGAATACCGAGCATAATTTACGGGTTGAAGCGGTGCAGCGGTGGCCTTCAATTTATATGTGGAATTTTCCATGTGGAATATGTAATTTACATTGGAGGTTCCAAAAAAATCACTGCCTCCTAAATTTCAGATAAAGGTGTTGTACTTTAAAATCTTGGATTAGATATTCAAGCTAAAATTTTCTAAAGACAAACTTCGAATACCGCTTGAAACGTCTGTCTAATAATTCTACTGTCTCTAAAAAAATAATCACTGATAAATTAATTAGCGTATTCTATGTTAGTACGACAATGCCTATAATTTTTCAAAACATTCCCGATAAAAAAAAAATTGTCCTTGTAGGCAGACGATCATACGGCCCATCTGTTGGTGAGTGATTATCGTCGCCCATGGACTTCAGCAATGCCTGGGGCAGAACCAAGCCACTGCCTACCGTTAAGTAGATAGTTATTTATTTATTTATTACTTAGATTGGTATATGAGCGCACGGCCCACCTCATGCTAAGTGGTTACAGAAGACCATAGACATCTACAACGTAAATGCCGCCACCCAACTTGAGACATGAGTTCTAAGGTCTCGCTTTTAACAGTACAACGGCTGCCCCGCCATCCAAACCGAAACGCATTACTGCTTCACGGCAGATATAAATAAATTTATGTACGTTCTTTAGGTATATCACACCATATGAGTTCGACGTGTACAACATTCTTAATTCACAACATTCTTGCTTTAACATGTATTAGCTTTCTGCCCGCAGCTTCATCGAGTGATTTAATAATTTTCTTATTAGGCATAGGTTTTTTTTTATTGCCCTTGTAGGCAGACGAGCATACAGCCCACCTGATGGTGAGTAGTTACCGTCGCCCATAGACTTCAGCAATGCCAGGGGCAGAGCCAAGCCGCTGCCTACCGCTTAATACTCTCCACAAGCCTCGTTTGAAGAAGGACATGTCATAGCGCTCCGGAAACACCGTGGAGGGGAGCTCATTCCATAGCCGGATGGTACGTGGCAAAAAAGATCTCTGGAAACGCACGGTGGATGACCGCAGTGGCTCCAGCTAGTATGGATGAACTCTACTCCGGTGGCGGGCGGTGCGATGGTAAAAACGAGATGCCGGTATCATCTCGAACAATTCCTCAGAGCACTCCCCATAGAACATACGGTACAAAATACAGAGGGAACCGAAGTCCCTCCGCAGACCCAAAGGTTCCAAACGATCCGTGAGAATGGGATAAGAGTAGTAAGAGATTAGGTAAGAAAATAGTTTTTTTGAGACGTAACACCATCGTGTTCAGCCATTTTGATATTCTGTGGCATGTGGCAAGAAAGAGATCTCTGGCAAACAAGTGCGGATTTATTCTGGCCGATTCAGCCTTCTTCCAGTTTTTATTTAAGCTTCTTTCTTCCTCTTCTTACCTCAGAAGAAGCTAATGTCCGTTTGCTAAGCATAGTAACGATGAACCGATCACCTCTAATCAGTCTTTTTGGCGGGAACGCGAGGAGTGAAGTTGTTTAAATTGATTTGTTTTGTTACTTTAGTGTTTTTTCAGGTTTCAATGTATAAATAAGGGCGGTTTTCTAACTGTTTAGAATCGGTATGTTGGACTTGACGGCCTGCAGATGTTGTGAACAGACTGCGGCGGGTCCAAGGATGTTTTAGGGCTCTACCCACCAAACGACGTCTGTAATTTAAAGTTTATTTTTAAACATCAATAGATGTAAGGAAAAACGCACATATTACAAACAAAAAGCAGTGTTGCTAAGTTAGTGTATTTTTTTTTTAGTTTTACTTATTAACCCCATGGTTTTTTTAAGGGATTTTATGTCCTGGTAACTAAGATCTTTAAGTCATGTCTTATTATTATTAAAATTCTTATTTTGTGAAAAATTATATTAAGGAGTGAAATGAAATGAAGATGATTCATTTGAGACATTAATCAACTGGAATGAAATTAAATTGAATGAGATGAGATGATATGGGATGAAATTTAATCTTAGTAAAATTGTGGTCATTTACTGAGATTTTTTCAGTGGACTTTTTGGAGGATCCCAAGAAGTTACGTGCAGCGGCTTCGTTTCATTTTCCCAAATTTGTGCACTTTTACAGATATTAAACAGTTCATAAACCATCGTTATTACAGCATTTAAACTTGAAGAAACACTAAATAGACAAAATAATACAAATCACACAACTTCACTTCTCGCGTTCCCGCCAAAAAGTCCATTAACTCCATGGTCTATGCTGTCTCGCGAAGCCATAGATAATACACTTAGTATTTGACGGGAAGCTTTTTTTTTAAGTGGTTTTATGACCTGGTAACTGAGACCTTTAAGTCATGTCTTATTTTAATTTATATTCATATTTTTATGAAAAATGATAATATGGAGTGAAATGAAATGAAGATGATTAATTTGAGACATTAATCAACTGGGATGAAATTAAATGAAATGAAATGGGATGAAATATAATCTCAGTAAAATGGTGGTCATTTACTGAGATTTTTTCAGTGGACTTTTTGGAGGAACCCGAGAAGTTACGTCCAGCAGCTTTGTTTCATTTTCCCACATTTGTGCACTTTCATAGATATTAAACAGTTAATAAACCACCATTATTACACATTTAAACCTGAAGAAACACTAAATAGACAAAATAAAACAAATCACACAACTTCACTCCTCGCGTTTCCGCCAAAAAGTCCTTTGACGGGAAGCTATGATGTAGTATGTACATAGATTATACACATTACACTTAATATGCTATGTATGTCTATGGTGGATGGTAATTGGTAGTGTCTGGACATACTCTTTGGTGTCTGGTGTCAATAATTCAAACCAAAATGGGTTTGGGTAGTAATTTAATTAATTTTAAGACATACAAAATACTTAAAATGCCAGCATTTACTACTAGATTTCTCTCAAAAATAGCAGAGTCTAACCAGGACTCACTAAATTACTGTGCAAATTTAGTAAGGTAAAATAATATTTATACAGACGAAAATAAAAATAAAATTTGAATTGTGAAGCAAGTTCTGGTACTTGTATATTTATGTTACAGATAGGCAGCACGATTATGAAAATTTTTTGGCCACACTGCTCCTGACAAAGGCTGTAAGATCTCCGACGCTTGTAGTCAGAGCCTTCAATGTAGAAGTAGCTCGTATACAAGATCAAACCACCGATTCTCAGACAGCAGCTTTCAGATTGCAGTTCTGGAATGATACACTTAAACTACTCTATAAAAATGATCAAACTTTAAAAAATATTCCAGCAAACCCCATAGCACAAGAGCTGTTTAAGGTAACCTAAACTATACTACATAAAACATAGCTATAGCTATAAGATGTGCTATAATTTGTGACAATTTGTGTCTCATTAATAGTATTATATTATTATTGTACATATATAACTCTTCATCTTATATTTAATTCATCACCTTCTTGCCCTTATACCATAATATCATCTTCTCGCATAAAAACTATAATCTCAAAACTTACTAATTTTACAGGAGAGTGTTGTAAAGGTTTAACATGTGATATTTTTCATATTGATCATCTTTGCAACATTTATTTTTTATTTTTTACCAGTTACATTATCTGTATTTTAAAGTAAGATAAAATTATGTATTAATTTTGTTAGTAGTCAAAACATAGGTAAACTAAAAAAAAAAAGGCTAAAACTAAACTACGCTGTTTTGACAGTATTTATTAAAAAAATACTGGTGATAGCAAATGATTCCTCATATTAACTCAATTTCGAATATTTTTGTTAATTGTACACTTTTAATGCAAAAAAACGATATGTTGGGATTGTACAGCAAGTTAGTTTTTGTCCTTGTATCATGTGGAATAGGGATTTCAAATGAGTTTGATGACCCTGACCACAACCTTGATTGGTTTATATCCATTGCCCCATGCCATTTAGATGGACTTTTTCTGTTTCTTATTTTGGTTTTTCTTTTACTTCATCCATTTCTGATTAGTGTTTTATTATCGTAAACATATACACTAAAATTTAGATTTTCTAATACCAAAATATAAAATATCGCATTTTATTTGTTTTTCTGTTAGTTCATATAATTAATTAAAGCAGATCATATCTGCTTATGTGGCAGAATGTCTTTTCACCTTAGGTGTTTATAGGTTTGAGTTGTCAACTCACTGAATTAATTGACAATTAGTACCATATCTCCTCTATCTATCTCTTAGGTTTATGGCGTTTCCTTTTAGATTTCGCCAATGTCAAGTGTATATAATACTCTGCTTTCTATAGCGGGCTTCGTGAACGAGCAAGGTCACAGATATTCACTAAGAATTAAGTGAGTAGCTAAGAATGTTTGATGACAGGATCTCTGTTGATTTACCTAAAACAAATAAGACGCACACAATATATATACAGGGGTTAGTTCGATAAAAGACAGACAAACTACAGCTTAATGTTATTTTGGTTAATGAATGAACTAAGAATATAAACGAAAGGAGAGTTGACAAGGGAAAGAAGAGATTTGAGATCAATGGGGCGAGATATCTCCTCTAATTATTATCATTTTATGCACAACTCTAATTTTGCCTCACTACTAAATGCTATTTACTAAAACAACACACATTGAAAGTGATTTTATTCTTCTCCAGTAAAGGTATTGAGTGTACAAACTTTGTGTACAAGACAGCTAGACAGCAAGAGTTTTTGGTATCTGTAAGCATTACCCCTAGGTAGGCAGCGACTTGGCTGTGCTGGCAGGCAGCAACTTGGATGTGCCCCTGGCATTGCTGACGTCCATGAGCGACAGTAACCACTTACCATTGGGTGAGCCATATGCTTGTCTGCCTACAAAGATCAAAAAAACAATAATATACCATACTGAAACCTTAGAACTTATATCTCAAGGTGGGTGGCGCATTTCCGTCGTAGGTGTCTATGAGCTCCAGTAACAACTTAACACCAGGTGGGCTGTGAGCATGTCCACGCATCTAAGCATTAAACAAAAAAAAATTATAAATAGTACGCGGTTTTGCAACCTATATACTGTACCTGTATTTCGCTATCTCAATCTATCATTTTTTTTTTATATTCCAGGTGTGTAACTCTTGCAAACTCCCAAAAAGATATTTAGAAAGATTAATTGCAGCGAGAGGAAACATATTGAAATCAAAACACTTTCAAAGCTTGGAAGATTTAGAGAAATATGCCGAAGATTCAGTTAGTTCCATCTACTACCTCATTCTTAGTATTTCTGACGTTACCAATGTACATGCTGACCATGCCGCTTCACATTTGGGAAAGGCACAAGGAATTGTAAACATACTTAGGTTTGTATCAAATGAAGACATTATGTATTGTATGTGTATGTGTTGTAAAAAAAAGCTATTTTAAAGTAATTGTTACTTTTAAATATCTAGCTGTTTATTAGTTCTTTTTATAGCTATATATGCGTAGACGAGCAACGTCACGTTATCACGGAACGATTACCCAAATTTATAAAATTTCTGAATTGAAATGTCGGAAAATTAGTATCTGCCTGCAGGACTTGGACCCGTTTATAGTATCACAGCTCGATACGAAAACAGCGGGCGTCATATTACGTAGGCTAATGCGGCTTTAAAATCTGTTTAGTCCCCTATAATTTGAAAAGTGATGATTCATAAAATAGAAATAATATTAAATTGTTACAGATCAGTACATGTTGCTAGTTATCATAAAACGGTAACCTTACCGATGAATACATTAATGAAATATGGGATCAGCCAAGAAAACGTTTTGAGAGGTATCGACAATGAGAATATGAGAAATGTTGCATTTGAAATAGCCACCAGAGCTAACAGTCATTTAGAAAAGGTAAATAAAACAATTTTTGACATAGAAAAATAGATGTTGATTTCACCGAGGGAGCTGGTTCTCCCACTAAGAAATGCTAGTAAAGTTTTTTAAATAATCCCGAAGAAACTATTTTCCTACAGGTTTTTTTTTGGCTTTGTAAACAAGACTCCAGATAGGTGGACTGGACTGCTGAATAGTTCTATGGTTCCAACATTGTATCTCTACTATCCGCAACTAAAATTCCATCTGCAAAGTTGTACATAATTGGCCTAATTGCAACAAATGCACAATATACATAAGTAGCCAAACCGTTATACGCCATTTGCTCCTTTAATTGTTATCCGTTTTTTTTTCTTTCTAGCAGCTAATGACGAGCTTTAGTTAAGAATTAAGAAAGTATTATAGTTTTTTTTTTTTGTAACAAAATATCAACCAATATAACAACATAAAGGAGAAAGCGTAATACAATTAACCTAAAGTATTAAGAGAAAACTCCATAATCCAATAATGAAAATGTGGGCAGTCCATGCTGGCGAAATGTTTGCTACGTCGAGCTCTAATTGTTTAGTAAATGAAGACTACATTAATAATATTGCATTTTATGAATAAAAAATATATATCTGTTGATTTACAGGCTCGGGCAATTGATGTACCAAAAAAAACAAAGCAAATATTTTTACCTGCAGTAGCAGTAAACGCGTACTTGAAAAAACTACAAAAATGTAATTTCAACTTATATGACAAATCTTTACAATTGGGTAACTCTACTCTGCCACTAAATCTATATTACAATAGATTAATGAATAAATATTAAGTAGGTACATACCTAGACCAAATTTTGTCAGCAATAGTTAATACAATACCTCATTCATTATATTATTTATTATAATGGCCATTTGATTAAATACTTATTAAGTTAAATAAAAATGTTATTAAATATAGTGTTGTTTTCTTATTTTTTCCATGATTCTTGATTAAAACAATTGATAAAAACTACATGATGTTTGAATAAATTGGGTAACTACACGATCGATCGACAATACGGTTCATGGTTTTTCGGATGACTATCCCATCGTCGATAGCCTAAAAATTTGGAGAGCAGGGGAGAGGCTATATATGGGTCTTGATATCGCAAAGACTCAGGATACGGTATGTATAGGACACTTCTACCGAAGTTACTTGATAAATACAGGGTTTCTGAATGTTAGGTGTGATATTTTAAGTTGTAATTTTTTTTTGAATAATGTGCATATTAATAAATAAATAATTATTCATAATTATACATAATATGTATTATGTTTAATAATTAATTTTGGATCGAAGTTCCTTATGGGACGAAGCGGAGGGGTACCCTAACCGGGCAAAAACGTAACGTAAGATTTTTTTTTAGTAATGCACACAGTGTACGACGTATGTTTGTTATAACGTACAAAAAATAACATTTTTTTATCATTTTTTGACCACAATCTCAGAGCGTTCGTTTGCGCAATACACTAACTCTTATGCAAACAACCGTGAATGAAGTGTACCACAATAAGTTCGCACGTTACCGAATGACCGTGGGTTGTTGCGAAACCTCCAGTTTTCTTTTCTTTATACCTCGAATAGAACTTAAAATTAATATTTTTATAATATGGAACTTCGTTCCTATCCGGTGTCCCACGACACCACACATCTTTGTTTAAGTAGTACAGCATAAAGGCGATCCTATCGCTGATCCGTTCCGATCTATTATTGTATAATAATTTAAAGTTCTAATTTGTACTGTACCTACTGGTTGAAAAAGATTTATTACAGTAACCTTACTGAAAATCAATAATTTTATTTTTATTTATAATTTCATTCTATATTTGTCTGAATTCATGACATGAATTACATTTTTGCTTTCGAAGGCAGACGAACGCATTCCCCACCAACACCGCGCGTGTTTGTCTCGCATACTAGTGATGTCAGATTGTAATATTTATGTGCTCTGTTTAGATTTATACCAGGTGAGCTTTTGTCTGCTTGGGTAATGAAACATCGAATTAACCATGATTATAAAATGGTACAAAGCTACAAATACAGTATGTAGAGGTACAAAACTAGTAGGCTTATCTGTGATATGAGTTTCATCCTAGTTTCAAATTCCAATAACACATCCAATGCTGAACACAGGCCTTATAATATTAAAATTAAATAATGCTGGAAAAGTATGGACAAAACAAAGTATACTGACCACAACAGAGCTGTGTAATAATGTTTCTGCAACACAAAAATCGAAGGAAAAAATTAAAATACAACTAAGATCGCTGTTAATAAAGTGATTGAGTAAATAGGGCATAATTTTGAATAAAACATTTGCAATTTAAATAATTGCACTATTTATTTATGATAAGCTTTTCATGCAAATAAATAAGTTCATAACATAGAGATTCAAGCAACATGTTTGGCAACCAGAGTACCTAATCTAATCTAGCTAAAGTACTTATAGTTATTAGTAACACTACACAATGTACTAAAAATAGACATTTATTTTGTTAAGTACAATAAAAAAATATTTTTAAATAATTTAAACATAATATGAAGGTACATTTACATGCTGCTGTTCCAAAAAGAGTAATGGTTACATTTCCAGTAATAATAATTACTTTGGTACTCAAACTTATTTCATCATAGATCTTTGGCGAGTAGTTTGTAGAGATCAATTCCTAAATTGGATGATCTAGACTATTCCTGTAGCTTATTTTTACCAAGTAAAAATGTAAACAAAAATATTACTTAGTTCAAATACAATAATACAATTTTGTAAATCTTCAAAACCCTGAAAATTTTTCAAATGTACAACTAAATTTTCTTCTAAGCAATTGAACTAGTTTAAACAATCACACAATAAATACAGTCAATAAATACAATAGTAGTGTATCACTAATTTGGAATGTATGTAGCTTATGAATTAAAAATGTAAAAATCTTATGACTATCATATAAAAGCTAAGTACTACCATTTCAATCACAATTAGCTTGCATAGTTATAAAAAGCTGCATCAAAAAGTTTTACTCTATTCTGAAGGTGTTAAATCTTTTTCAGGCTCTCCTTCACTCAAAATCTGTTGCAGGAGATCATAAATTGGTTCAAATGCTTTCCTACAGGCAGCATTACTGGGTAAAAGATAATCATGCATGTCATGATGACTTATGGTGCCATCACTTTGAACAAAGCCTTTATCAATAAGAACCATTTCAACTTTATTTATATTGGAGACTTTTTCATGCAAGAGTCTGTTAATTTTAGAATTTTTGTCTCTTAGTCCATTTGGATATTGACCCCGTGGCAAAAGACTCTGAAATTTAAATTAGATTATTAGAAATTAAATTATTTTTCAAAAATTAATAAAGGTAGTCCCTTTAAATAACTCACAGGTAATACAATATAGGCCGAAGGATGTTTCTCCCTGATTGTTTTGATAATTTCTATAATACCCTCACATATTTCTTCAGCAGTATTTTCTACATTATTTGTTCCAACATGAACAACTATAACCTGTTATTTTAAATAAAATTAGAATGCTACAAATTAAAAACACACTTATGATACTGCAACGAGTGAAGATATTCGAAATTCTAATTGAATAACCATTTTTTAAATATTAGTCTAAAAACAACTTACTTTAGGATCAACATGGTCCAACTCTCCATTTTTTATGCGCCAAAGAACATTCTGAGTTTGATCTTTGTGAATACTAAAATTGAGGCAATGTAAGGGTGCAAACCACTGATTCCATACCTCAGTGTGTTCTAATGCTTGCAGAATAGAATCACCTATGAAAATTACATCAGCATCTTTGCCTTTAGCATCAGACAGAAATCTGTTATGCTGAAATATTTCATTTCTTGATTAAATCCATTTGGAATATAGTTGTCATACCAGAAATTAATATAAGAATGAATAATTGTGTTTAAATAATGCCTTTTGCTTGCTTTAAAATATTGCTAGAAATCATTCAATAGATTATTTGATACTTACAATGCTATTCCACCTTCCATCGCCTTCCATATCTTGTTGCGGTGTGGGAATTGAGCAAGGATTCATTGGAAATTGATTTTAATGTCAGAATTAACTAATAAAAAGATATTTTGTTTTGCAATTATGCACCTACTATGTACTCCTAGAGTTGTCAAAAAGTTTGCCGTTTTGATGAAATTTTGACAGGTACCTATAACCATAGACTAGTTAGAAACATGATGCAAATATGCACTATAAGGTACTGTACCTATTTTTAACTTGTGTTAATGATTTAAAATACAAAAACATGAAAACTTATAAGTATCATTCGTGTGTAAAAGTTTCAATTAAGATAAATTTACTAATCTTTTTGGCAAGAATATTCCAAATTAAGATATTGAAGGAAGATTCATGCAAAACGGAAAATTAGTGACAAATTTCAAAATTTAATATCAAAAGGCATCGTCTACCACTAAGCCAGGTGGACCAATAGCCGAATCTCACGCCGAGGAGGCGTGCGGAATATATCCTGGTGGCGATGAGCACTTTCGCCCGAGCGTCTGATTCCTATCTGAAACAGAATTTGGGAAAGGTAAGTTTGTTACTGCAATCAACACTGCAACCAGACTAGCAGCTCACCCTAACAGGCGTTTCAACGGCATTGCGTTCAGCGTCTCTGTTAACGATTTATCGACTTGACCAGTTGATTCTGGAGATGTTCCGGAATACGGGGAGTAGACGAGAACTAGCCTGCCCGGTCAAAACACGATACACCGCCGATATACAACCAGCCTCTTCAACTAATGTTGTTCAACTAGTGTAACGCGCTGCGCATCCTCAACCCCACCAATCGTCCCATGACTTTGAAAGTCACTAGAGGAATTATTAGATCAGCCTATATAATATCAAGTTGTAGTTCCTATAACGATCCGCGAAGAGAAGCACGTGAAGGCAAAAAATAATAAACAGATAAAATATTTTGAGTTCTGTGCCTAAAACTAATGTTGTAGCGGTGGGTATCGCAGATAACGATTTAAGGATTCACCGACGAATAAGGAGCAACGTGTTCTAAGTATTATCCCAGCGTACTGCAATCGTTGACTGGCATTTGCTGGTAGTATCAGGGCGTCTTGCAAACCCGCACAAGTTGGTGTCACTATCCTCTCTATTTCTGCTGTGAAGCAATCATGTGGTCTGGCTAGAACGGTGGGACTTCCATTATACAATGTAATTGTGATATCTGTGAGCTCCAGTAATCACTCTACATTAGTGGGTTTGTTCACAGATTTGTGATATGAGTAATAAATTTTTAAGAAAAATAATTCCGACAACGAAAAATTCTAATACGGCAAAACTTCGACGAACACTTCAAGAAGCTTTCGCTATCCGTGTGCTTAGTGCGAGCTTTGTAACGTTCTCGATAGCTTAAAAGTTCAAATTTGTATGCAGTTGGAAGAGCGCCCCTAGCGGCATACGTAGGCAAACGTTCCAACTCCATATAATTTTTTTTTTCGGGCCGGAAACCGAAACTCCTACGAGGTCCCCGCGTCTAGGGGGTGCGCGGGGTATGTGGGACTTGACGGTCTGCAGGTCTTGAGAGCAGACCGCAGGCCCAAAGAATTGTAGGGCCCTACTGCATTAAACGACTCCCATGCACTCTTATACCCGACGTCCGATCTCCGTCCGGGGTCAGAACCCGGTCAGAGTAGGGGGTTTCCCGCGGTCAGGGCCACCTCCGCGCAGAAAAGACGGGCAGACTCGCACAAGTCCCTTCCCCGGGCCACGACCAAAACGTCGTCCGCGTAACAAACTACACTCAGACCCGGAAGAGCGCCCCGCAGGACCCAGTCGTAGACGATATTCCACAAGAGAGGGCCAACCCCTGTGGAAAACCGCGCTTGACTGGAAAGCGGAGCACCGTCCCACCGTGCCCGGTGCACACGACCAACCTGTCCTCGAGGTAGGACCCGATCAGCCAACAAAGATACGCAGGGATGCCATGATACTCCAGCGCCCCTGCGATTACCGACCAGGAAAGGGTGTTGAATAATGCGTTGGCGATGTCGAGGGACACCGCCAGTGCAACCCTGCCCCGGCCGACAGCCACATCAGAAAAGGCGCTCGCGCGCATCACCGCGTCGATGGTCGACCCTCCCGGAATCCGAACTGCTCGGCTGACATATTGGGACCCACCCCCGGCAGGTACTGGACGATGCGGGCGGTCACCAATCGCTCTAGCAGTCTTCCCGCCTCGTTCAGCAACACGATGGGACGGTACCCCGCAGGTGAGTTCGCAGGCCGTTCCTCCTTCCACAGCAGAACCAGTCTGCCCTTCTTCCACTGCTTCGGAAACCGTCCCGACTTGAAGCAGGCTTCAAAGAGCCGCACGAGCTGGTCCCCAAGGGCACCGAAGGCAAAATCAAACCCGCAAAATTATAATTTGCGTAATTACTGGTGGTAGGACCTCTTGTGAGTCCGCACGGGTAGGTACCACCGCCCCGCCTATTTCTGCCGTGAAGCAGTAATGCGTTTCAGTTTGAAGGGTGGGGTAGCCGTTGTGACAATATTGAGACCTTAGAACTATATCTCAAGGTATGTGGCGTATTTACGTTTTAGATGTCTATGGGCTCCAGTAACCACTTAACACCAGGTGGGCTGTGAGCTCGTCCACACATCTAAGCAATAAAAAATAAAAAAAATCCCAGACCCGGCCGTGAGCACCGTCAGGGCTGGGGGCCGCGTCCTTCCTCCGCATCCTTAACACGGCTGGGCCTCAGGAACCTCCTCCTCCGAGATGCTCAGAGTGACCACCTTAGCAGGGGCATCACCGCTCACGTCATCGCGTGGCGGCGCACCCATGGAACTCCATTTAGATTTGACTTAACTTTTACGCTATCGAGAACATTAAAAACTCGCACTAAACACACTGCTTGGTTATAGGCCTGATAAAAAAAGTGCATATCCTAAAGACCGGTGACTTTACTTTTATTTATTAATACTTCACTTCATTTCATTCCACTCCATTCTTCAGATGTGTATTTGCAGATGTGTATTTTTATAATAATTTACGATTGTAACCAACTCTACAATGTACATCTATGCATCACACAAGTATACAGCTATGCGTAGTTGCGTACTTTTTAAATAAAAAATGTATTCAGTGGCCTTAAATATCTCGTTTCCAGGCCATACTATCCCAATAAAAGTGGATCATCATGCCTCCGAAATTGCTGTGATTTATGCAACGTTGGTTAGGTACCGCGTCTCTAACACTGTGAACTTATCTGATAATTCTGATTTACTTTTAGCGGAAACGTGAGAAGTGCAGTTGTGTGATTTGTTTTATTTTGCCTGTTTAGTGTTTCTTTAGGTTTAAATGTGTAATAACGGTGGTTTATTAACTATTTCATATCTGTGAAAGTGCACAAATGTAGGAAAATGAAACAAAGTCACTGGACGTAACTTCTCGGGATCCTCCGAAAAGCCCACTGAAAAAAATTCAGTAAAAGACCACCATTTTACTGAGATTATATTTCATCCCATATCATCTCTTATTATTTCATTTCATTTCATTCCAGTTGATTAATGGCTATGGAGGGTAGAGATACCCTCCATATTAATGGCTCAAATAATCATCTTCATTTCATTTCACTCCATATTATCATTTTCCATAAAAATAAGAATATAAATTAAAATAAGACATGACTTAAAGGTCGTAGCTACCAGGTCGTAAAATCCCTTTAAAAAAAGAATTCTGATATTTATTGTCACTTGTCAGCAAAGTCAGCATGTATTTCAGTCCTTCGAGAATTAAACACTTGTTTCTATTAAAATTTATTATAAATAATATACTTAATATTGTAGTAATATTAAAATGAACAATTAGCACGGTGTTTGTGTATTCTTTTTTATTAATGACTGAGTAGGTAGTTTCTACGGACATGTATGTATGAAATAAATTATATTTTAACCAATACCCATAACGTTTCAATACAAAATAAAATTAATATTCACGTCAAGTAGAAAACAATAAAATGGAAACGGAGAAAGAAGCAGAAGATGTAAATAGTATGGAAATTAGACAACGTAAAGAGAAAAAAGAGTTGCAAGCCCAAATTCAAGCATTGAAAAAAGTAGCTAAAAATGACAAAACAAAAAAGAAAGATCTTGCTGCTGAAATATCAAGGCTTGAAAGTGAATTAGAAATTAGACACAATAAGGAGATTATGGAAGCAAAACTTTCTTCTGAACACAACTTAGAACCAATGGTAGATGAAACAAGAGTTATCAAAACAAAAGTATCTAAAGCGCAACGGCGCCGAGATAAAAAATCAGAACAAGAGAAAATCCGCGAAGAAGAAATAAAACTTCAAGACAAGGAAAATGTTCATGGAGCTAGGAACATTGAAATACAAACTATTACCAAAAGGCTTGAAGAAAAAAATTTGAAAATTTTTGCTGTTCCATCAGATGGAGATTGTTTATACAAAGCTGTAAGTCATCAGTTGCAACTTGTGAAACAAGAGACTGTAAGCGTGGATGAATTAAGAGAAAAAGTTTCAAATTACATAAGGGATAACAAAGATGATTTCAAACCTTTCATGTGTAACCCAGAAACACTAGAAACATTAACAGATGAGGAATTTGAAGATTATTGTCATAAAATAATGAATACCAAAGATTGGGGTGGTCAATTAGAACTTAGAGCCTTGTCAAACATTTTAAAGTGTCCGATAAATGTGATACAAGCTGTAGGACCTGATTGTATAGAGCAGGGCACAGAATTTGAAGGCCCACCATTGATAATCACATATCACAGGCACATGTATAGCTTAGGTGAACATTATAATTCAACCAATTTGATTTCAGTTAGTGAGAATACCTCATAAAATACAAATAACTTTAAATATAAAAAACAGATGTGCATAATTCAAGAAAAGAGAAAATAATAATTCTTTTTTTATAAAGTTATGTAAAAAGGACATTTGAAATGGTAACAAATACAGTTTAGTATATAATAAAAGCATTACATAATATTGCCTTTTCTGTTCTTTTTTTTTTTTATTGCTTAGTTGTGTGGACGAGCTCACAGCCCACCTGGTGTTAAGTGGTTACTGGAGCCCATAGACATCTACAACGTAAATGCGCCACACACCTTGAGATATAGTTCTAAGGTCTCAGTATAGTCACAACGGCTGCCCCCCACCCTTCAAACCGAAACGCATTACTGCTTCGCGGCAGAAATAGGCGGGGCGGTGGTACCTACCCGTGCGGACTCACAAGAGGTCCTACCACCAGTAATTCGCAAATTATAATTTTGCGCGTTTGATTTTTATTGGACGATGTTATTCCTTCACCGTGGAAGTCAATCGTGAACATTTGTCGAGTACGTATTTCATTAGAAAAATTGGTACCCGCCAGCGAGATTCGAACACCAGTGCATCGCCGAAACGAATGCACCGGACGTCTTATCCTTTAGGCCACGACGACTTCAAGCATGTTCCTAGCATAGTAAATGGAATATGAGTTTACTGCCCCTATACAATAACATTGAGCCACCAATTGCCTTAGAACATATCAACGCTTGAAAGGCAAAAGTGACTAAGCGACAATAACTGCTTTGTAATAACCATATTCGATGTGCAAAAAAATTTATTTCTAGGTCTATTAAAATCATTTCAATCCTACAGCTACTAGCTAGATTCGTTAAAATATTATTTTTTTCGGGTTCAACTTTAAATTAGTCTACTGTAAAGTTCACGCATTGTCGCTTAGTCACGTTTGCCTTTCAAGTGTCGATAAGATTGCCTTTAAAATCTTATTAGAAAAATCAATATCCTAAAAATCAAATGAAAATTAATGATTTGTTGGGAGGATTGACAAGTTTTGTGAAACAAGATACAGATTGTAATCATTTGGAAATTCGCATAATTAATAAAGACACTAGATGTCAATTTTATTACTTTGGCCTAATATTCTTGATCAGGATAATAATAATTATTTTAATGTTTATGTAATGATTTTAATTATGTTTAGTTTTTGCCAATTTTAGTATAGTTTTGATGCTCGTCTTTCTGGTCGTTCCCTCAATGCTGAGGATCGTGACTGTATGTCAATCTTCTCCATTCGGTCCGGTTCTGCGCCATATGTACCGCTCCCCATATCTGGCCTCCAGTCACCTCCTTGAGTTGGTCCACCCATCTAGCTGGCGCTCTTCCTCTAGCGCGCTTCCCCTCCATTTGTCCGAGAATTGTGAGTTTCTCCAGGCTGTGCAATGAGGATCGCATGATGTCCCCAAAGAAACTCCGGATCCTTTCCTGGCACAAAGTCAGCAGGTGCTTGGTGACCTTCAGCTCTTCGAGGATGGAGACATTGGTTCTCATAGCTGTCCAAGGAATGCGTAGCAGCTTTCTCCAGCAATACATTTCAAACGCCTCAATCTTTTTGCGTTCCTTTTTCCTGAGACACCAAGTCTCCACCCCGTACAGGAAGATAGAGAAGACCAACGTACGAACCAGACGCATCTTAGTTACTCGGCGAATATTACGGTCTTTCCAGATTTTATCGAGGCTAGTCATGGCACTTTTAGCCATCCCGATACGGCGTCCGATTTCTTTCTCGCAGTTACCACTGTTAGAGATCAGCGACCCCAAGTATATAAATTCCTCCACTTTCTCATAATCCTTGAGTGCATTTGATGGACTTAAAACTTGAGCTCTGTCCACCGTCATCACTTTGGTCTTAGAGCGGTTTATGTGCAGGCCAAATTCAAGGCTCACTCTCTATTCGCTCCAAGATCGCAGCCATCTCGGACTCGCTGGCTGCAAGGATTGTGATGCTCTTATAGTGATGTAAATCAATAATGAAACTGGTTTCTTGTTGTATTGTGTTTGAATGAGCTCATGGCCCACCAGTATTAAGTTTTTACTGGAACGCATATAGAAATGCGTTAATATTGCCAAACTTCTTGAAATCTTTGTTCCTTCATATAGAAGTTGAATTATTCCAGATAGTCTGTGTTACAATTACGGTACAATCGTATTTATAGTAAAAACCAAAACTATAACTTATAGTCAATAATAATTTGCGCAGGAGTTGCCGCCCCTTTCAACATGTCCTCCGCCTGAAGAACAATAGATCAAAGCGTGGCCATCTTGTGTCTTTACCACTTCGTCAAATAAGATGCGCCGGCGACATGTTGCAGGGGGCGAGATTTAACAGCCTTTGCACACGGCACTCGGATCACCTGATGTGACGTAAAATCGTATGATTTCTGTGCTGTGTTGAGATGTGCGAGTTGACTTGCCCACTCGCCACAAAGTCATTGGTGAACACGAGTTAAGTATTATTAAAATTGGTACCCGTGTTCTGGATTTGAAGTTTGTGTTTATAAAATAATTAAATCTAATATATTTAATCAGCATTGCTATTAATAAGCAGGGGATGAAGTATACGACCTCTGCTCCCTCTAGGTACTGCTACCATCTTTTTTTTCGGGCCAGAGCTCGACCATCTACAGTAATAAAAAATCATCGAATTCAAATGCGTTTTTTTTACATAAGACACGAAAACCAGCTTACTAAAGTCTTCAGTAGTTACTGGAAACACGAAACACGAGGGCCTAAGTCTTCACCCTTCAAAGTGTAACGCAGGCTGCTTCACAGCAGAAGTAAGCATTGTGGTAATACCTAACATGCAGGTATTGCACTATACCACCAGTACAAGTTTAAGTTTCAATAGAAAGTTTAAAACCATAGACAATTTGAATAAAAAATACAAATGAAGTGAAAGTGTGTTTAGTAATGTTTATTATTGACGGTGTTAGTTATTACAAAACATTTTTTAAAATAGTAAATTAGTTAGCTCCGTTCGGAACTGATGTTTGTACACCCACATTCTCTTCTTCTGTATTGTTTTTGTTTGGGTCATCAGGCTTCATTGCAGGGAACAACAACACCTCCTAAAAACCAGAATATTTCCTCATTATTTCAAAAAAACATTTAAAAAACTTCTTATTGAATTGTAATTGAATATTGATTTTTAAAACTGACCTTGATATTATTTGAATCGGTAAGGAACATAGTCAAACGGTCTACACCGAGGCCCCACCCGCCTGTCGGCGGCAGGCCATATTCTAGAGCTGTACAAAACGCTTCATCGGTTGGGGGAGTTTCATCGTCACCAGCAGCACGATTCTTGGCTTGCTCTTCGAATCTTTCGCGTTGTGTCGCCGGGTCATTTAATTCGGTGTAGGCATTACAGATTTCTTTCTTAGCAACATAAACTTCAAACCTAAAACATATATTGTCATTTATAGTAAAGACAAAACAATACATACGTTTTTTGTCTCAATGTTAAAGTTATGTTTTTTTCCTACCTATGATTTCCTTGAGAGGCTATATCAGCGTTACCCTAGCGTGTAGGTGAGCTCTCGGGGCTCAAACCAGGAGATGTTGCTAACACTGGCCCTTACAAGAGCAGTGCTTCGCAGAATCTACCACCGGATCGGAAACGCGACCCACTCAGAAGATCCGGCGAGAAACTCAGTGGGCTGTGTCTATGGGTTAGTTTACTCGTCAAACCCGTCGCATGCGACGAAGGGCTCGACGAGAACCGTGATCGGTGCTTGAGGTACCTAAAAGCACCGTTAGTGGATCGGGAGGATCCGAAATGACGCTTTTAGGGCGCTTTATAAAACTGCTAAAGCACCACATCGGTAGGTAGTTTGTTGTAAATCTAAAACACTGACCTGTTTTTTCAAATGAGCCAATAAAAGTTTAAAACTACGAAAATATTTTTAATACATACTTAGTTTGAAGTGATAACCAGTGTACCAATGACGCGACTGGCAAATATTTATTATTTTAAACATTACCTCTCTGTAAGTCCTGGAACATCTCGATGGTACTTAGAGAGGGGACTCATAATCTGAGGATGGTCCAATATAAATGTCGGATTTATACACTCCTGCTCCAGAAATACAGAAACCAATTTATCCAAGAGCCTCGCGGTGGTCCTCGGTGGCGAGCACTCAATCTTTTAATAAATAAAAATAATTTCATTGCTAGTTGTAAATATGTTCAATCCTCGTTAAATTGTTTTAAATGAAATTCCCATCATCAGAACTGGTTTTAATATTAAATGGTATATTAGGTATATACGAATTATTACGGTTGTGGCCTAAAAGATAAGACGCCTGGTATACTAGTATCAAGCGATGGGACTGTTCCGGTGTTTCAAATCCCATAAACAGCTACCAATTTGACTAAGGATGTAATTTGTGAAGTTCTGTCAAGATGTTCATACATACTTCGATGGTGAAAAAATAGCATCGTAATCGTAATAAAAATGTAAACAGCTAAAATTAAAATTTTTGTAATTATAAAACAATGAGACAGACCTCAATACTAAAATTAGGGTGGCGTTTTTTAGGTTGTGATTGTATGTTAGATTACCAGTTTTGAACTTTAAATGATCAAGTTTCATAGCATATTTTAATCATCAGTCTCTTGAAATAAGATTATTATATGATGCTCGAAGGTCAAATTATGATTAGGTCAGCTAATTGAAAGATCTGACATAATGAAGCATACTGCTAATTTGCAAAACTACTATGGTGGTTAAAAACCTTTAAGCATCAGAATTGGATGCACCTCAGGCTCCTTCTTACCAATTAACTTGAGGTCTATATCCATTTCGACTCTTAAAACGACGATGATAGGTAAATATCTCTTAATGCTCTAACAAGTATGTAACTCAACTTCAAATCTGTTTCTAAAATATATCAGCAAAAAGTTATTATTAGTTACCTGATGAGTGTTGCATAGGTTGTTAAAGAAATCATTAGCTTCAGGTGTATCAAGTTTATCGGGTGCTGGGAGTTTCACGTTAAGAACACGTTCCAATGTTGCCATCATCGGTACTCTAGCAAAGGGTGGTGTGAAATCGATTTCTAGTTCCTTACCCTCTGGTCCTTCTGGATGATATTTGACCTAAAATCATTAGCAAGAATTTGAAAAAGCTTTATCATAGTTTTTCTTAATAAAGTATATTTTACTGTAGTTTTACTCAATCATCGTAAACAAAACTAATTACCTTGTAGGATCCATGAATGCTCTGTACCATACCAGACAAGATTGATTCAGTAATGGTCATCAGGTCATTATAATCCGCATATGCCATGTAAAATTCACAAGTCGTGAACTCAGGGTTATGTGTTAAGTCGATACCTTCATTTCGGAACTGTCTTCCAATTTCATATACCCTATCGAGTCCACCCACAACAAGCATTTTGTGATAAAGCTCAGGAGCTATTCGCATGTACAAGTCCATGTTTAATTCATTATGATGAGTAATGAATGGTTTGGCAGTGGCGCCACCGGGAATCATATTCATAAGTGGGGTTTCCACTTCTAGGAAGCCCATATTGTCCAAGAATCGCCGAACATAAGCTATGATTTTAGCTCTTGTATAAAAGATTTGTCGAACCTGAAAATTATTATTGGATGATACACACAAAACATTAATTAAACCTTTTTGGCACACGACATCGTCCCAATGGCAACTTATGATTTTTATGATAGGTAAATAAATAATTGATATACATACTTCTTTGTACATGTTTAAATATATATATTTTACCTAACTATTTACAATGCATTTGAGATTTAATAATGGTGGGGATATTTTTTGACACTAAAGCACATCCTAGTTACTATAAAAAAAAAGAAAATCAGTTTAACAAATCAAGAATAAAATTATATTAATCATTTTTGTATTTGCCTGTTTATATGGAATGTACATAGATAAATTAGATCTAATGTAGGTCAAGCTGAGATCTCAATAAATTTAAACAACAATAAATTCATTATTGGACCTTGTATTTAATGCGAAAATAACTTATTTAACAGGATGTAACAATTAGAAGTATATCCCATTGACTTTATTTAACTATAGGGTATAGCCTAATCATTGTTTTTCAATGCTTAAATTAAAAATAGTCAGCAGAGCATTTTTTTTATTACTTAGATGGTTGAACAAGTTTATGGCCCACCTGGGGTTAAATATTTACCGGAGCCCGTAGATATATAAAACGTAAATGTCGCCCCCCACCTTGAGACAGAGTTCTAAGGTCTCAGTTTTAACAGTATGAACGGGATGGCAGTTCCTACCCATACAAGTTCACAATATGCCCCACCACCCGAAATATTATGGAGATTCATCATGGAGATTGACTGTGACAAGGTTACAGCCAAGCCACACTTAGAAAATATATTACCCTGGTAGCTGTTAAAGGAAATTGACTTCTCCTTTGTGACAAAAAAAACGTGTTAAGTAATAAATGCCTCTGACAAATAGAGAAACTACTATTCTATAAAAGGGTAAAAAAATAAACAGATTTGATGAGCAATATGTAACTAGGCTATGTTTAATGATTGGGTATTAAAAAAAATTGTGGTAATACAAACTAAGGACAATTGTCAATGTTTTTTTGCTCACCTTATCATTCAAAATAAGGTCCAGATACCTTTTTCTAAAGCGGGTTTCTTTGTCTTTGAGACCGAAATGTAAATGCGGCAACATATGAAGGCATGGTGCAAGCAATTTTATATTTTTCGGGATAATAGAAAGTTCTCCTTTCTTAGTTTTACCTGGATGGCCCACACAACCAATGATATCACCTCTGCGTAATTTATCAGTATCTTTAAAAAACTTATCTTCTGCTTCATATAGTTTTGCATTAGCCATTACCTGAAAAATTTTTCAATTAAGACTAAATATAGACATAAATACACTTAGTCAGCAAATAATTACACAGGTGTTGGTAATGACAAACTATAACATTCGAGATACATTTTGGAACAAATGCTTTAACTTGTTTCTTCATAAAATAGTACCTTTTCAGAAGTTTTCATTAACATAAAAGTAACACAGACACCACAAATTTGAGGTACATTTTGATAAAGAAAGTAATATTTTATGTTTTATTTTTTTAATGAAAAAACGTCTCGACTGAACTCTCATTAGTCTATTACAGGCTGTAATTTACCGCAACCACATACACTAGATGATGACCGAGCTTTGCTGGGTTTTTTTTTGGATAAAGCCATCTTGTTGTTTCTTTAAAGTGGTTAGTTGCCCTGAATTAAGAAAAATAGCATTATTATTCGCCAATAGCTGTTGGGAAGAGTCGATTATTGAAAACACAAATAAAACAACATTTTCTGAAAATAAATCGTAACTAGATCGATTTATCACCCCCCAAATCCCCTGTATACTAAATTTTATAAAAATCATTGGACCCGTTTCCGAGATTCAGATTATATAATATATTAATATACAAGAATTGCTCATTTAAAGGTATAAGATAAAGGTCCTAGTCTTCAATGGCCAAAGGCAGCAATCTCAGAATACTTAAAATTATATTCAATACTCATCTTTAAAATTATTAATGGATTAATAAACAATACTAATGTTTTGTTTTATGAAGCAAGGATTATTGGTGGGCTGGAGGCCTTTCCAGTTTCACCAGGACAGGTGGGCGAACAAGGGCTAAGCCAAGAGGGGTAATATCAATTGTTCTAAAGACACAATTGATTTTTGGAATAACAAAAAATCACCAGTTTTTTTTTTAACATTTTAATGAAACTGGGTCCAAATAATGTACCTATTGTAAATATTATTGCTTGTAATAAAATTACCTGGATTTTAGCCCCTTCAGCTCTTAAATCATAGAATATTAGTTTCGCTCCTGATTCTCTAATGGAGTGAACTCTACCAGCCACTGACAAAGTGACGTTTTCCAAAACATCTCCGTTGTTCAAGTTCTGATACTTTTCTATGAATTCCTCCAAGGAAATGCTAACATTGAATTTATGAGGATATGGATGATCTTCTTTGAGTTCATTTTTTAGGGCAGCTACAGCTCCAGATCGTAATTTATAATATTCATTAGGACTAATTTCTTCTTCTTGTTTAGATGGTTTCTTTTCAGCGGCAACGACCGGCTGTTGTGAAGCTTTTTCGGCCTTCTCCCTTAACTTTTCTTCAGCTTTCAACCTTCGTTTCAGTTCGCTAAAATATTTTGGAATGAGAAAACATGACAGCCAAAACGAAAAAAATAACTAAAAAGTAACCAACCCTTTGCTAACGGCGGTGGATAGGTTAGTGCATCGGCCGATGACTTTATTTCTGGCAGAGGCAATCAGTAAAAGTTTTAAACTAAACATGACTTTGCTTTTGAATACTCACTTTTTCGAAATTTTTTCAGTGGAACTTTCTGCCATGGCTGTCGAACTAAATTCACTTAACCTTAGTAACCATATAAAAATACAACTTGAGTGCCTGACCCTGACTTACACGTTCACTCAACGTCAAAACCACAGACAACTGTTGAAATCCGGACAATATTATTTACTTTTGGTAGTACGAAAGAATGGCCACGAAACGTGAGATAGGTATTTATGTAGTGGCTATTTATATTAAGTACTTCATAGTGCTGCCAGATGGTAAATCTTTTAATACTGTATTGCAATCCTACACACAACTGCAAATCGCAAAAAAAAAACAATAAAATGTTCATTTAAAATTTTATATTTTTAATTATATTTTTGTATTCAAGAGTAAAAATAAACAACTTCACTAATTTAAACATTTATTTATTTGTACACCATCCATTTCACTATGAATTGCTCACTGTTTTTATAACATTACAATCAAAGTATTATTATCTTATCAATTGCCTGGTAAAATGTCAAATAAGCCCACGCAGGTAGGTACTACTACCTATTTCTACCGTGAAGCAATAATGTGTTTCGGTTTGAAGGGTGGGGTAGTCGTTGTACTTATAAACTAAAACTTAGAACTTAGGTCTCAAGATCGGTAGCTGCATTTAAGTTGTTAATGCTGTGAATATTGGTAATCCCCTGTGCCCCAGATATGTCTTTAAAGATCCTCCTGTTCTACTCTCGGTGCTGTTGGACGCTATTGGTACTAATGCTAGCAACATCCAAAGCATAGGTAGCTGTATATGTGGCACTCGTCGAAGAGTTTGAGGTGAAACGTAACCCATAACAGGAGTCAGCTGATTTTCTTACAAGATCTACTCAAAGAATCGCGATTTTGGTGTTAGATGCACTCGTGAGGTGGTAGAGGAGTAAATCAGCGTTTCTTGCTTTCTATTTTACGCAATAATAGACAAATTTTCGCAATACCAGGATTCCGAGATTAGCTGCATTGTAAATACCATCAGTGAAGCTCTTTCTTTTTGAGACGCAGATTAAATGTAATTTCGATGTTGAGGTGACAATATTAAATGTATCGATTTTTTAAGTATGGTAATAGTTGTATTGACATCACAGCTGTTCCATTCGTGTGAATTGTCGTGATATTGAAAATTACAATAATTTATCCAAAAGTAAGTTTTACGTGTGTTTTAAGTCTATTTCCTTTCAAAAATGCAATTTGTAGCATATTATAAACATTTTCTTAATTCTTTAAACCAGCCAGGTTGGCAGTCGCTTTTAATTTGTCAAATTTCGCTTCCCTAACATTCTCGTGGAAATCGAAGTAAGTACGGTTTTATTTTTTGTTATGATCGCGGAAAAATGTATGCGTCTGTAATTTTTTGTTTTAGGTACAATCTTATGTAGACATAATTACTTATATCACCTGCCCAAGTCGCCTTAATACTATGCCTCTCTTTGGTAAGTCTCAGAAAAGCCCTGCGGAGCTTGTTAGATCGTTAAAAGATGCCGTGACGGCTTTAGAGAGGGGTGATAAGAAAGCTGAAAAAGCTCAAGAAGACGTGAGCAAGAATTTGGTAAGTAATATTAATATTTTGCCAATTTTTGTAGTAAACCATGAGTATTGATATAATGATATTTCATATCCATACAGGTACTGATTAAAAATATGCTTTATGGTACATCTGATGCAGAACCACAAACAGATATCATTGTTGCACAATTAGCACAGGAAATGTATAACACTAACTTGCTACTGCTTTTGATACAGGTAAATTTAAAAATAACTTTGAAGGATTTAATTTAAAAAAATGCTAATCATACCACTATTAAATATATTAATTCAATCACACACATCTTACATTTTATATCGTGCATCTTACCATGCTGGTATTCCAATGCTATCTTTTTATTGCTCTAAATGGTAATTGGTCCAGCTTGTATTAAGTATTTACTGGAGCCTATAGACATCACAAGGTGCTTACCCACTTGAGATATGAGGTCAAGGTTTGAATTGTATTGTACATTTTCTCACTATTTAAATTGGAAAGCTTGTTAGCTCTATGTTAAAAAAATAATTTTACTGGTGGTAGGACCTCTTGTGAGTCCGCGCGGGTAGGTACCACCGCCCTGCCTATTTCTGCCGTGAAGCAGTAATGAGTTTCGGCTTGAAGGGCGGGGCAGCCGTTGTAACTATACTCAAGACCTTAGAACTTATATCTCAAGGTGAGTGGCGCATTTACGTCGTAGATGTATATGGGCTCCAGTAACCACTTAACATCAGGTGGGCTGTGAGCTCGTCCACCCATCTAAGCAATAAAAAAATATATCCAGGAATAATGGTACCAACCTATGGGGATTCACATTAGATGCTACCAGTGAACATCAGTTGGTTTTCCTGATTTTTAATCCCTTTCTCACCTTTTATGACACCAGTAGAAGAGTTGATTTGGTGCTTTTTAGGCTGTGTCGGATTATTTATCTAGAAAATTTGAACCTTAGCATTTAGACTAATGAAGAACATTGTGTCAAAAAAATTAATGTTGAAGAATTTTGATAATTTCTAATTATATTTCTAATATTAAATAGTCAGATGCTTTAATTTTAAAAGGTAGATAGATAATTCTACATAACTGTAATGTTCATTCTTGATACTTCAAAAGTAGGTATACTAGCAGTAAATTTTAAATCATATTTTCAAAAAAGTGCAAAATTTTATCCACAGAATTTAAACCGAATAGATTTTGAAGGAAAAAAAGATGTGGCCCAAGTTTTCAACAATGTCCTTAGACGTCAAATTGGAACACGATCTCCAACAGTAGAGTACATTTGTACCAAGCCTGAAATATTATTTACACTGATGTCAGGGTAAGTTTGATGAAAGTAATACATAAATTAATTAATGTATAATAGGGATTTAATTAAATTATTAACTATCGACAATTTAGGTTATCTGAAATCTAAATCTATATGAAAATTCAAATGTATTAGCATATAATATAGCATACGTAAGCCATTCATCAGATTGTTGCGATGTTATTGTGAAGTTGTTGTTGGCACTTTGGAAAGAATTTTTGTCATGTCATCAACATAAAACAGGTGGTGCATGAGTCACTGCAATTTCACTAGTTTTATATAAATTCCTGCATTTACTACGAAAAAGCTATTTTAATTCGCCATGTTAGTATAATCATAATAATATAATGTATTTAATGGAGTCTTAGTAATAAGCATTATATACTAGATATGAATTTGCAAGTCATAAAATTTTGATGAGTAGAAAATTTAATAATACCTTAATAATGATTCTTTCTGATGTCGTTTAAAAATATAGACATTATACAATATGAAACTTCTAGTGAAACTATAAATTAATGTCTATTAGGAATATGTACAAATAATAAATAATTAATAATATAATGTGCTTTGGATGGTGAATTTTTATTCTAAATGAATTATATACATTTACATATTATTTAAGTTGAAATGTCAATGTAGGAATTTTTATAAATAACAATAAAATATGGTAAACATGTTTTATTGTGTCACAATTTTTTTTTTTAGCTTAATTGGTGTTAGTTATTCTTTCTTGTTTTCAGGTATGAACATCAAGAGATAGCTTCCAACTGTGGCACGATGCTGCGAGAATGTGCTAGATATGAGGCTTTGGCTAAAATAATGTTGTATTCAGATGATTTTTATAATTTCTTCCGTTATGTAGAAGTTTCCACTTTTGATATTGCCTCAGATGCCTTTTCTACTTTTAAGGTTTTCTTTTTGTTTTGATTTAATACAGTGATTGTTTAAACTAGATTTTTAATATTCACACTATTAGCTAACAATTGGTATAATTTTTTCTCGTCAAATAGTTAATTGTACTAAACTAGATGATTTATTTAAATCTTGTCTGAATTTTTGCAGGAATTGCTAACAAGACATAAAATTTTGTGCGCCGAATTCTTAGAAGCCAACTATGATAAAGTATTCAGTCATTATCAACGACTTTTGAATTCTGAAAACTATGTAACTCGAAGGCAAAGCTTAAAGCTGCTTGGTGAATTATTGCTCGATCGTCACAACTTCTCCATTATGACACGTTACATCACTAATCCAGACAATTTAAAACTCATGATGAACATGTTGAAAGAGAAATCACGTAATATACAGTTTGAGGCCTTTCATGTGTTCAAGGTATGCACATACATTGTTTTATGATAAAAAGTACGGAAGGCATCAAATTCATATTCTTATTCGTTTCAGGTATTTGTAGCAAATCCCAACAAACCAAAACCAATTTTGGATATTTTGTTGAGAAATCAAGACAAGTTGGTAGACTTCCTCACCAAGTTCCACACGGACCGTTCAGAAGACGAACAATTTAATGATGAAAAGGCTTATCTTATAAAGCAAATCAAAGAGCTTAAACCGTCAGAACACTAACATTTATTGCATTTCATAAAATTGCCACTTCCTCCTCGAAAAGAAGTTAGATTATAGATGCTATTATATTTAAATGCTTCTAAGTCACCAAAGGGTGTTCTGCGGCGCAAAACACAGAGGTTCCATACATTTTTAAATCTTATTTTTACATTTGGTCTGTGATGAGTCAAGGAAAGTATGTATGTGCTACGAGCAAAGTAACATTTTAAAAAGCAATTTAGCAATTAGTCTTACTTATGGTTTGACTTATATTTTTTGTAAGTTGTCAAAACCATTTTAGCTTACTGACATGTAGTGACATTATCCTCAGTCACATACATTAAATTCATTCACGTGTATGTGCCTATAAATTCAGATATACTTATTACTATTAAACTTGATTTTTTAAAGTTAGAAAAAGAAAACAGGTACCGAAGATCTAAGGAGTTTTGTATATAATTGACTTTTAATTCGAATGTTTTTAAAAATTTTATTCCATTATCAAAAGTATATTGTTGAAGATAAAGTTATGTATGTATAAAATGTTTGGTTTCAGACAATGGTATTAAAAATTGTTTTTTATGCAATTGGAAAAATTCTATCCATTAGTGCTTATTAGTGATTGCAAAATTACACCTTTTTTTTTTCATTGAACATCAATTATTAGTGATGTACAATTTTTCATAAATGCTAGATCAATTATTTGTATAATGATTTCTATTTTGTGAGCATTACTTTAGAACGGAATAAATAAATATTTATATCATTTTAAAAGTTATTTTATTAAAATATTATTTATGTCGCATTATAAATGCTAAAAATATAACTGTTTGCGACATGTGTGGTTCGATTAATAATTACTGGTAAATCTTACGCAAGTTGTTTAAAAATAATGTTATCATTTCTTTATCTTTGTTGTGGTATTTAACCGTGATCATATCATAGAATTAGGCAATTTATAACACATTTGATGTTTTCATTCTGAACGCGGGTAGGTACAATAATAGTCGAAAATAGATATGTGTTGAATATTGGACTGCGTATGGTAATAAAATTGCAACAATGCCAATTTGTACAATATATAAATAAATAATAGAGTAAAATTCACACATGCTCATCTGGCCTCAAAGCATTATTCCGTGGACTATGAGGAACCGGAGACTAATTCATACATATTACTTTTAAAATAATTTTAGGATATAAATTTTCTAGAGAAGTTTACATTAGGTAGCGACTTGCTGTGCCCTTGACATTGCTGATTTCAGGTTCGTATGCTCGTTTGTGTACAATGACGACGAAAAAAAAGGACAGATCAAACAAACCTGTTCGTCACTCGTGTTTATCCGATGTAGGAATTGGACCTATGATACTCGATAGGCAGACGACGGTCTGTATTGAGACATTTGAAAGTAACAGGTGCTCGGTAGCCTAAGCCAGTAGGCACCTACGTAGCCCCGTGAAATGGATACGATTGAGTATTCAGAGTCCCAGTCTGTCCATAACCTTAGCGGTACCACACCATATCCTTGATTATTTCTCATAGTTTCAAAGATGATCCTCGTTCACGTGTAAAATTTGCTTATGATTAACAAGTAGTTTTATTGTTTATCTAATAATTTAAGTGCACAAAGCTAGACTTCGATAAACAAAAACGAACACCCTCATTGTTGAAGCTATACTTTTATTATACAAAAAAAATCACACATCAACGACACATAAAACATAATGCTTGTTACATTAGCATTGTCACGTAAAAATGGAAGAACTAAAACATGAAACAATATATTACAAAAGTGAAGTTTTATTAGTTTTTGCCCGTTTACCACGCATCGCATTATAAAATAGGTTATTTTCGTTTAAAGCTACCGAAATATATGTATTTATGTAGGTACCAATTGAATTTAAGAGAAACAATCACAGGAGAAAGACGTTTTATTTCTGAATAGTCCGGTTTTTTATTTAGCATGGAAATATTTGAGGAAAATATGTAACAGGAAAAACTACTGTATGTCGAGCAGAAAGTGAAGAATACCATATAGAATTTCGAAGAGTATCTATTTCTTGATTACGAATAAATGTATTTATGTAGGTACCTATTGAATTTAAAAGAAACAATCGCAAGAGAAAGACGTCTTATTTCTGAATAGTCCGGTTTTTTATTTAGCATGGAAATATTTGAGGAAAATACGTAACAGGAAAAATATTGTATATCGAGCAGGAAGTGAAGAATACCGTATAGAATTTCGAAGAGTATCTATTTCTTGATTACAAAATGCAAAATTATAGTTCTAACTCTCTAGTAACTCTCTAAATTAATACGAAATCCACCATCTAATAAGACATGCGATTGACAATACGTTATGGGAGGGGAGCGAAATCATTTTAAGTTGTTAAAGATAGCGACTTATGACTTTCTGTAAGACAGCCAATTATAGACAAATTGTTGTCAAGCCATTCATGCTATTATGCCCTAGTTTATTATTGCAGATACTTAGAGGCTATATATATTTTTTTCTAAATATAAGTATTATGCACTCGACAACAAACAAATTTAATGTGTATTAAGAAGGAAATTAACAATTGGACATGTAGCGGCTTACCTACCAATCCGAACGTAGCTGAAATAACCCTTTAGGCTACCAACTAATAGGTAGGCGGGAAAAAAACTACGTCGCGTATGAACTGGCCTTCTTACTGTATGTAACTATCATAAGTTTATTAAAAAAGAATAGTCGTTGCCTAGCAACAAGCAGTTAGTTGTGTAGAATTATGTAAAAAAAAAGTCAGTATATACATCTGAAGATTATGTTTTATTTTCTAACACAATTACCACGCAAGCAAGCAATTGAGATGGTCCTCATGTCTCAATCCGGATCGCGAATTTCATATTGCGCGAATGTGGACTTCGGTAACCGCTGTATACCAGCGTGAAATCATTTATATACGCCAATTAAAAAAAAAAGATTACGAAATGTTTTAATTACGATTGAATTTAACAATACAGAGTTATGGTTAGTAGCTACATAGAAGTGTTATGTTTATCGGTGCGTGGATAACTCCCTTTAAAAATACATAGCAAGAAATTTGTACAATAATGTGTTTAATTGAGACCGTTATCTGTAACGATGAAAAGTGGGAATCAGTAGAAATATTTGAAATCAGAATATCCGACGTGCCAACACATACAATCAAATAAATACATTATTTTCTAATGTGTAGAAGTTAATTAAAAAAAAAAAATTCTACCCTCCTGTTGATTTCGTTTAAAATATATATTTTTATAAAACTAATTATAGGCATCGAGCAAGACTTCAGTTCTATTTTTAAATGAACATGATGATATGTCGTTCAATAATTGATGTACCTTTATTCAACACAAAAAATATACCGTATCGGAATCGAGTTTTATTACGTAAATACCAGAGAAAAAACTAATAAAACTGTGTTCTAAGTTAAATAAAAAAAAACTTAATTTACGACCCAAAATCATTTGATTTTCATTTCCTTGGTCACTGTTCACCTGTAATACATATGTAAAATAAGATATGTTGGTAAAATAACTCAGTTTAGATTGGTCGGCTAAAATTTGCAATTTTGTTATAATAATAAAATAAAAATAAAAAACAATTCAAAAGTACGACATAACGAAAAGTGTATAGTACTATACAAAATTTATCTAGATATACTACAAGCATTAAAACTATCAAATTAATAAGTCTATTATATTTCTCGTCACAAAACTAAACGTAGTGTTTGTTGTTATTTAGAAACATTAAAACTTAAATTAGACACGTTTAAATGTAAATATATATACACTATATTTTATATCTACTTTATTTCTCGTGATAGCCCGGAGTCCGTAATAATTTATTACAATATTAAATCGAGGTTTTCATACAACGCTTTCGTAATTCTTTTGACGCATCATTTATTGTGTACAAAACATGTATGCAAAATGTAATAATATAATATTTATAATTGCCTTCAAAAATAACGGAAGGCTCTAATTATGACGTTGTCCAGACTAAATTATACCGTTGTGCTTAGTGCGAGTTTTTTAACGTTCTCGATAGCGTAAAAGTTAGCTCATATTTGTATGGAATGGGATCGTTTGCGTACGTTTGCCGCTAGGGGCGCTGTTCCAACTGCATACAAAAATGGCTCAACTTTTACGCTATCGAGTACGTTAACTCGCACTAAGCACACGGATCAATATTTCGATTCGTTAAGATTAGTATTGTTGCTCCAAACACGGTAGCTATTTTAATGTGCGGAGCGAATTTTTATAAAAGTATTTATAAGTAATGTGCAATTACTAAGAGAATAAGAATCTAAGTGCAAATTCTAGACGTAATAAAAACATTCTTAAACAGTCACAATAACGTTTAAAATTCATTCTGGACTACTAGGACATTGATGACTTGATTTATTTGTTGTAACGCAATTTTTGAGTTACGTTTCATGTAAAATTACCAAATTACTGCTCTCAGTCATGAAAATTGACATATTTACAAACAATATTCAAAAATGGGTCTGTTAATTTGAACTTAGTCAATAGACAAAAATCTTCTTTTTTTTTGTACTTTTATATTTATTACGCGCAGCGACGTTCGTTATTTTCGATTTTTAATTATTCCAATAATTTAAGGAGATCATTTAGCGTACAAACTAACCATTTCGTATGGCGCTTAATTAAATTACAACATAATTAAATTTCGTACAACCGGCGATGTAATAAAAATTAACGTTTATACCCTCGCAGTGGCGTAGTGAGCTTAACTCTGCGCCCGGGACACAATACCTTTTTAGCGACCCTATTTAGACTATACGTGTTTTTTTTTTGCTTTTTATTTACGAATTAACATTTATTATATTAGACAGGCACTAAATTTAAAATATATAAAAAAAGAAAAAAAAAATTCAATATTTTTTTGTTTTGAGGACCATTTGGCGCCCTTTTGTGAGTAGTACCCGCAATATGATGCCCCCCTTGCCCCCTTTGGCCCCCTCTCGCTACGCCACTGTACCCTTGTCGTGTGTGGCAACGTCAACATCCGTGTTCGAAGTCGACGTTTGCAACATTTCGTACAACGCGAGTTGAGAGTTCTAATCACAGTGCTCATGTAACATCGGGTAAAAATTTATTAAGACAAATGAGCGTGAACCGTTGAAACAGGGCACACGTCTAAATTTATTCTCTTCTGTTCCTACTTGTTAGTTTTCATGTGGATTTATTATAAATTAGGCACTCAAAAGCCTCAGGGTGTTATCGACTTAGCTCATGACGATAAGCTGTCCGGCGTTGTTGGCGTAGACCAGACCCTGGCCGGGCTGGGGGGCCCACCGCAAGCAGTTCAGACTGGTGAACCCCTGCTCCCAGTTCTGCTCCAGTTCCTTGATCGGCGACAGTCCCGTGCGACTGGAGCTATCTGAAAATACAGTTTCAGGTGCGGTCCTTGTTGGGCGTAAATTATCGACAGGTCTCGAATGATGAGCTTCATTTGAAGCAGCTGTAGATAAAGGGCGACTGCCGGCTGTTGGCGGTAGTTTTTTTGACGTTCAACAAGTATGTACTTTCATTTATGTTGAATAAATTTTTTTTTGATTTGATTTTGATTTGATTTGATTTTGTACGTGTCCGCTTTTTTTTTCCTACCTAAGCTGAGAGCCTTGAGAGGCTATTTCAGCGTAACCCTAACTAGTAGGTGAGCTCACGGGGCTCAAGCCTGATGACGTTACTGACACGAGCCCTAGGAAGAGCCCTGCTTCGGAGAATCTACCACCGGATTGGAAATGCGACCAACTGAGAAAATCCGGCGAGAAACTCAGTGGGCTGTATCTGATTGTTAATTTACTCGTCGAGCCCTTCGTCGCAAGCGACTGGTTCGACGAGAACAATGAACGGTGCTTGAGGTACCTAAAAGCACCGTTAGTGGATCTGGAGAATACTTTCATTACATACCTACCTTGTTTCGTTTAGCATTGAACGAGTTAAATAGTTTCTTCCAAATGTCAGCAGTAGATTCAGCAGCGCGCACCTCAGTGTACTGCTCTACGGTCGACTCTAGTGACACAGCATTACGAAACTAGAGTCCAGACACTCACCGAGCGAGTCGAGCTTGTACAGGAGAGCGAAGACATGGTTGTGGGCGCGGTGCGTGGACGTGAAGCGTTTGGAGCCCAGTCCCACGGCCAGGTGCCGCGCCGTGGGGGACAGCGCCACCGACACGGCCGTCTGCTCCAGCACCGCCGTGTGCAGGCACTGACCCAAGCGACCCCACTCCAGCGAGTACACCCCTGTAAAGCATCTCTCACGTTTCATCCACGAGCAGTGTCGCAGGAGATCCTGATTTGAAGTCTTACGCTGTTTGATTCGATGGGCAAATTCGTTAACCATTTATAATGCAATGAGAGTTTCTTCCCAATTATTTTTTTTAAAGATATTTCTGAATGCTGCCATATTAGTTCATTATCATTTAACCTGGCAACATACACGTGGTTATCGTATTCATCAGTATTTAACATGCGCCGTTTCAAACACGATTACAGCAGATACATTGAAATAATGTGAATCACTTTGAAGTCGTCGTGGCCTAAAGGATAAGACGTCCGGTGCATTCGTATGAAGCGATGCACCGGTGTTCGAATCCCGCAGGCGGGTACCAATTTTTCTAATGAAATACGTACTCGACAAATGTTCACGATTGACTTCCACGGTGAAGGAATAACATCGTGTAATAAAAATCAAAACCGCAAAATTATAATTTGCGTAATCACTGGTGGTAGGACCTCTTGGGAGTCCGCACGGGTAGGTACCACCACCCCGCCTATTTCCGCCGTGAAGCAGTAATGCGTTTCGGTTCGAAGGGTGGGGTAGCCGTTGTAACTATACTGAGACCTTAGAACTTATATCTCGAGGTGGGTGGCGCATTTACGTTGTAGATGTCTATGGGCTCCANGCCTATTTCCGCCGTGAAGCAGTAATGCGTTTCGGTTCGAAGGGTGGGGTAGCCGTTGTAACTATACTGAGACCTTAGAACTTATATCTCGAGGTGGGTGGCGCATTTACGTTGTAGATGTCTATGGGCTCCAGTAACCACTTAACATCAGGTGGGCTGTGAGCTCGTCCATCCATCTAAGCAATAAAAAAAATAAAAATAAACTTTATTTTCCAAAAAACCGATTTCATGTCCGAAATAATCCTTTCACGCTGTTTGGGTTTTGCATACCTATCCATCTATATAAAGAAAAATGAATTTCTATGTTTATCTTATGTGTGGGGCGTGAGTATTTTATTGTATCTCAGTCACAGCAGAGTGTGATCGGGTTTGATTTGTTTTATATGAATACAATTATTATTAAAACAAGTACTTTAATGTTCCTGGTTAACATATTCATGCAGTGAACTTAACGGCACCTTAGTTATTAGATACATTGGGCCCGTTTTGCTAATTGCAACATCCTTGATTTCTTTTTTTTTTGCATCATTAAGAATTTTCTTTGATGATAAATAAAACGTCTCAATCTAATAAATGAGTCGATTATTATCAAAGCCGGCAATGTGACTTTTGGACAATTATAGGTAAATCAGAAAAACGAATTATTGACTTTGTATTCCATTGGCAATCACAAAACTCTTTTGAACGACATCTTAGATAAATAACAGGTTAAGTTATAACCTTTATTTAATGCAGGTTTTGAACCGTATTCTTTGAAGGAGACGATGATATTAAAATCAATCTGTACTGACATATCAATAACATTTTTTTGTCCAAATGCACAGATTGCCACCTTTGATAATAGACGACTCAAATATCCCAACGTTTCTTTGTTCGAGCCAACTCACCTAGCCAGTGATTTGTGTTTCTCATGCGGGGAACGGGAAGCAGCGCCACCAGCAGTCTACCGTCTTTTGAAATGTCGATGCTCGCGTCGTTATGAATTCTGCATCTTTGGACTACAACATTTTTTTTACCTGAAAATAGCAATCGTGTTAATAATACAATAAAAGTTAGCAAACTTAGTCATTCAGGGGGTACCGCGTAAAGTGTAAAAACGATAAATAGTTTTTTTTTATTAGGCTCACAATACACATCACATTTTTACGCACAAATACGAGCATATGGCCCACCTGATGGTAAGTAGTTACCGTCGCCCGTGGACTTCAGCAATGCCAGGGGCAGAGCCAAGCCGCTGCCTACCGCTTAATACTCTCCACAAGCCTCGTTTGAAGAAGGACATGTCATAGCGCTCGGGAAACACCGTGGGGGGGAGCTCATTCCATAGCCGGATGGTACGTGGCAAAAAAGATCTCTGGAAACGCACTGTGGATGACCGCAGTCCAGGTAGTATGGATGAACTCTACTCCGGTGGCGGACGGTGCGATGGTAAAAACGAGATGCCGGTATAATCTCGAACAATTCCTCAGAGCACTCCCCATGGAACATACGGTACAAAATACAGAGAGACCGAAGTCCCTCCGCAGACCCAGAGGTTCCAAACGATCCGTGAGAAGATAAAAAAAGATACATAAAAAACACAAGTAAAAAGAAACCAAATCTGGCTTGCAACATAAGTAATGTGCGCACGACAAAACCAGACAAAGTGCTGAATTTGTACAACAACGCTCCTTACAATTATACGACAAAACAACACGATAACGAAAGCTAATCTAACTTATAATGTAAGGAAATAATTTTATTGACAATTAAACAATTACACTACTAACCTATTACTAACCTCATACAACGGGAGTCCTCATACAAAGCGGGACCTAATACAACGCGAGACCTCATACTACGTGGGACCTCATACAACGTGAGACCTCATACAACGCAGGACCTCATACAACGCGAGACCTCATATAACGCGGGACCTCATACAACGCGAGACCTTATACAACGCGAGACTTCATACTGGTGGTAGGACCTCTTGTGAGTCCGCGCGGGTGGGTACCATCACCCTGCCTATTTCTGCCGTGAAGCAGTAATGCGTTTCCGTTTGAAGGGTGGGGCAGCCGTCGTAACTATACTTGAGACCTTAGAACTTATATCTCAAGGTGGGTGGCGCATTTACGTCGTAGATGTCTATGGGCTCCAGTAACCACTTAACACCAGGTGGGCTGTGAGCTCGTCCACCCACCTAAGCAATAAAAATAATAATAATCATACAATGCGGGACTTCATACAACGGGGGACATCATACAACGCGAGACCTCATACAACGCGGGACATCATACAACGCGAGACCTCATACAACGCGAGACCTCATACAACGCGAGACCTCATAATACGCGGGACCTCATGCAACGCGGGACCTCATACAACGCCTGACCTCATAAAACGCGAGATCTCATACAACGCGTGACCTCATACAACGTGAGACCTCATACAACGTGAGACCTCAAACAACGCGAGACCTACTACAACGCGAGACCTCATACAACGCGTGACCTCATACAACGCGAGACGTCATACTAAGCGAGACCTCATACAACGCGAGACCCCATACAACGCGAGACCTCATACAACGCGAGATCTCATACTACGCGAGACCTCATAGTTTCAGGAAATTTATTTTCTATTTTTTAGTTGGATTTTCATTAAAAGCGTAGTTTTTTAGTTTTTTTTAAACTTTTATTTATTTTTCATTTTTAGTTGAATTTCAATTTTGTCAATTTTTTTTAAATGTTGAATTGTCATCGATCCTTAATAAGTATGCCAAATTTCGAGTTAGTCTGACGTTTTGAAGGTGATCAAAATCATGTTCAACGATTCCGTTACATACTAACATACAATACGACCGACGTAACTTGGCGAGTCTGAATATAGCCGCAGGTGAACTTTCGCGCATGTACACTCGTAAAAAAAAGTGTTATTAGTAGTAAATAATAGACACGTACGTTGCGTTCACCGTTTATTGACACACTGAAGTGAATACTTACTTACAAACATAACACCTCCACCCTTATTTACTACACATTATAAGCACAATTATATATATATATATATATCTTAACTAAGCGTACATAACAAACTAAAGTAAAAAAAAACAAAGAGAGGTTATAACTATATACTTAATCTATTTCCTCGAATCCATATCTAACTGGTGGCTTGCGTATTCTTACAGGACGTTCACGTTTGGGTGTCACATTTTCATTGATACTCTTACCACCAGTATTACATGCTCCCTTGTCTATCGGCACAGCGGGTCTCATAGGGCTGCCACGAATAGGCGATACAGCATCCTGTGCCGGTGTGCTATTTTTTGGTGGTGAACTACTCTTCCCCGAATCGTTGACCACCGCCACTGGTTCCTCGCCACTTGTCATGGGAAATGATAGCGACTTACGTGATTGTGTTCTTAAGTCTAAATTTTGCGCGATCAGTTCGGGACTTATATTTTTACGAATCGACGCAAAGGTATCAACTTTATCTATATTTTTTGTAACCCTTAATTTTAGCTGATCGACGTGCCTATGATTCTCGGTTCCAAAACTAGATCGTACACAGTAATCACGACTACCTAATTGCTTGAGGATCGTCCCAGGTACCCATTTATCCAGACCTCGATAATCCCGATACCACACCTTAGTGCCCGGCTCGAGTTGTCGCTGCACACCCCCTGCGTTTTGCTCGCTCCGCTCTTGTTGCGCGATAACTCGAGATTGCCTTTCTGGTTTTAAATTATCTAATCTCATACGGAGACTTCGACCCTGTAATATATTGGCTGGACTATCGCCGGTAGTTGCATGTTCTGTATTTCTGTAGGCTAATAAAAATCTACACAGAGCTGTATCTACGTTTAAATTCTGTTTTAATGCCTTTTTAATCGCACGTTTACAAATTTTAACTGCATTTTCAGCGGCCCCATTAGAGGCGGGATGATAGGGAGCTGAATAAATATGTTTTATGCCATTATGAATCAGAAACTTCTGAAAATCAGAGCTCGAGAAAGGCGGTCCATTGTCACTGACCGTTTGCTTTGGCAGGCCGAATTTTGACCACAAGTCCCGCAGTACCGATATAACCGCTTGTGCCGTTGTCCTCTGCATTTTAATTGCCTCTATCCATTTGGAGCATGAATCCACTACAACTAGATAAGTGACTCCACCTATGGGGCCTAAGAAGTCTAAGTGTAACCTGGACCAGGGGCGTGAGGGCCAGGGCCACGAGCGGGGCGCGTGTGTAGAAGGTGCGTCTGCGACGGCAGCACACACGGTGCAAGCGCGACATTCCGTCTCGAGCGCTTCGTCGATTCCCGGCCACCAAACGTAACTACGTGCTAGCGATTTTGTTTTCACTATGCCCATATGCGGATCATGAAGCTCCGTTATTATTTTGTTTCTGCATGAAGAGGGTATAACCACACGATGACCCCACATTATACATCCTAATTCAATATAAAGTTCGTTTTTCCTATTATAATATGGTTTTAATTCAT